ATATTGAACAGCAGACCATGCATGAAGAGCAATGTGTATGCATTAATTGTGTTTCTGTTTTCACCTGATAAACAATCACCTATGTGACGGATCCGTCAGCTTTGAACTCAAGTGCCCCAAAGCCCTATCATCTGTGGGCTGAGGAACTTTTCTCTGCAACCCATGGCCTCATTCTCTCCTGGCTTCTTAATTCTCCTCAAAATGTCTGATGCTCAGCAGCTTAGTGCAAGCTCTGCAATCATTAAGACTTCAGTTCAATTCTCCATAATCCACGTGGAATACAATCCCAGCACTAGAAAGGCAGAAACAGGAGGGTCCCTAGAGCTCACTGGGCAGGATCAGAGGGCTCCAGAAAAGACCGTCAAAAAAATAAGATAGTGAAAGGGGTTAAGGAAGACTCTCATCAACCTCTGGCTTCCACACACAGATGAACACATAGCCACGTACAAACGTGCATGCATGCATCCATAGGTGGGTGCCCCCCCCACACACATTCTCTCTCTCTCTCTCTCTCTCTCTCTCTCTCTCTCTCTCTCTCTCTCTCTCTCTCTCTCTCACTTTCCTTCCACAATACTCCTTTGCCTCATGGATTTCCCAGGTTCCACTTTACTTCAGGCAGCCATGAGAAAAACTGAAGCTCCTTGGTCCCACAACCTTCTGCCCACACCCCCTAAGAGCTACCTCAAGCCTACACAATCATCACCTCCTGAGCTGCCACTGGCCACATCTGTCTTTGGCTCTTCTGCTTCCCATAGTCATAAGTGTGTCCTCCCAGCTGGCCTCACTTCTCCTAGTCTTACCTCAAACACAGGGGCAAGATTAGCCCCTTCAAGTGCCTGTTCTGATCTTGTCTCTCCCTCCCCTCCCCAGAATCTCAGAAAACGGTTCACATTCTGTAGGGCAACGCTCACAGCCATTATAATATGTTGGCACACACACGTAACTCCAGCCCTCTGGAGACAGAGGCAGGCCTGTCACTCCAAGTTTGATACTCTGTGTAGGCTTAACTACATAGCAAATTCTAGGGCATTCTGGGCAGGACTCGATCATAAACAACCAAAGATAGGATTGAAGATGGTGTTCCCTCACCTCCATGCTCTGTTCCACCCCAAAGACTATCCTCACCCCTCCTGTACTTGCTCTGTGTGTGGGGGGACAGGGGGTCAACAGTTGATACTGTATGTCTTCCACAGAACTCATTTTCTCATTAAAGACTGATTTTGTGTTTGTGTGTGAGTACCCATGGAAGCAAGATGGTTCCCTGAAGTTAGAGTAACAGGCTTTTGTAAGCCACCTGATGTGGGTGCTGGGAACTGAACTTCAGTCTTTTAAGAGAGTAGCAAGTGCTTTTTCTTAGCCACTGAGCCATCTCCCCAGCCCTGGCCTCCTTATTTCTTGAGACAGAGCTTTCACTGAACCATTCAGCAAAAAAGCTGGCTACCAAGCCCCTGGGACTGCCCTGTCTCCACCTTCCCAGCACCAGGGCTGCAGGCGTGCACTGAGAAGGCCACTTTTTACATGGGCTATGGTGATCCAAACTCACCTTCTCAAGTTTGTGCACAAGTACCTCTCCTACCCAGTCAACTCCTCAGTCTTCACCTATATTTTCAACGAAAATGTTTTTTAGTGCTACAGATGGAACCCAGAGCCCTGACCATGCTAGGCAAGACTCTGACTGAGCCATGCCCCAACCCCTCATGGGCAGACTTTAAGCAATTGTTCTGCCTTTGAGTTACATCACAGCCCCAAGGCCCAATTTAAACACATGCTCTCAAGTGCCCAACTGAGAGAAAACAGTTCTTAATGTCTACAGCATTCCACCTATCCTTCATGGACTTCCGCTAAATTCCTTCTAGTCTCCAGAGCTCTGGTGTACATTTGTGGTGCCGAATAACTAATAAGCTAAAAAACTTACTATTGCTTTTTTTTTTTTTTTTTTTTTTTTTTTTTAACTTTGTTATTTTTGAGACAAACTGGCCATGACAACTCTGAACTTCCTGTTCCTCCAGCGTCCACCTCCTGAGTGCTAGAATGACAGGACTGTGGCACCAGGCCTAAGCAGTGCTGGGGATGGAACTTTGAGTATGGAAGGCAAACACTCTACCAACTACGCTACATTCCCAGCCTCTAAAGCAATCTATTTAGCTCATCCTTGTAATGGCTGGAGGGTCCATTAATACATGGCACCAGCCCTTTTGAGTAGGGAAGGAGATAGAGAAACAGAGGCAAAGATGTTACCAAGTGCGTGGGAGTGGCTTTGTCTTCTCTCAACCCATCTTCTGAAGAACTGTATCACTTCAGGGAGACATAACCCACTGCACAAGATCAGCATTAATCTACTCTGAGGCTAATAACCTCTTTACAAGAATTTTTTTTATTATTTATATGCATGCATGCGCTGTATGTTGGTATGCTATATTCAGGAGAGTGACAACAGAGGCCAGAAGAAGACACTGGACCCCCTGGAGTGGCGTTACAGATGGTTATGAGCTGCCAGATATGGGTGCTGGGAACGGAAGTAGGATCATTTGCAAGACCTGGAAGTGTTTTTAACTACTGAATCATCTTCTCTACCCTGAGAGTCCATCTCTTAAAGGCTGAGCGTTACCAGGGCCACAATGGAGACCAGGTATACATATCTTTGGATGACAAGCCATTAGCAATCAGCAAGGCCCTCAGAACCGACTAAATATACTCTGCCTTCTACCCACATTCCCAGCCTCTCCACTCCACACCCCTTGTTCTAGTCAACACAGCTTCACTGTCCCTGAAAGCTTCCTGATTATGCAAATGGTGACACCCTTCCAGGCTTTCTCCTCCTAGTCTTACTTTGCAGCTCACCCTGGCCATCACTTCCAGAAGCCTTCCTGGCCCTGCTGCCTACCTCCTCCTGGAGGAGGGGGACTCACCTTGTGACTCACCTTAGTGCTACATCTATCACAACACCTTGTCACTAACTGGCATGTCTGTCTTTCCACCCAAGAAGTTGCCAGAAGATCTTGTCTGGCACCTGGCAGAGGTTTGTGCAAACAAACAAAAAAAATGAACATTTCTGGTTCAAATGCAGTAACAGTGACTCACTTCTGTAGCCTACAAAGCATAAGTTTGTTGGTCAGTTGTTGGTTTTTTTTTTTTTTTTTTTTTTTTTTTTTTCATTTTGAGACAGTATTTCCCTATGTAGCCAAGGCTGGGTTAGTATTCACTTCATACTTCAGGATGGTCCCAACTCATGATCCTCTTGCCTCAATTTACTAAATGCTAGGGTTACAACTTATAACCATGTAAGGGTAAATGGGTTACATAGCCCAGGCTGGCCTCAAACTTGCAGGTCTGCCTAAGTCTCTCAAGTACAGGATAATAGGCATGCATCCCCTTGCTAGGCATGTTTTCCTTTTAATTTATTGTGTGAGTATGGGTCTGTGTTTGCAACAGAGGTATACAGAAGTCAGAGAATGGCTTTCAGGAATCTAGTCTCTCCTTCTACCAGAGATAGAACTCAGGTAGTCAGGTTTGTGCAGCAAGGGATAGAGTATTCTTTCTTAAAAAAGATTTGGGGGAGGGGCAGCAAGATGGTTCAGCAGGTAAAGGTACTGCTGATCCTTATCATCTGATTTACATTTCTAGGACTTGAAATAAATAAAAAATAAATAATTTTTAAAGGGGGGTGGGGCACTAGAGAGATGGCTCAGGGTGGTTAAGAACACTGACTACTCTTCCATAGGTCCTGGGTTCAATTCCCAGCACCCACATGGCAGCTCATAACTGTCTGTAACTTCAAGATCTGACAACCTCACACAGACATACATGTAGGCAAAACACCAATGAACATAAAATAAAAATAAATTATTCTATGCGGCCTCTGGTAATGGATCATTATTTAACCCTCGTATACAAATGGACTCTAGGAGCCCATTCCACATAGAGGGATACTACCTCAGCATAGACACATGAGGGAGGGCGTAGGCCCTGCTCCAGGTGATATGACAGACTTTGAAGACTCCCCATGGAAGGCCTCACCCTTCCTGGGGAGCAGACAGGGGATGGGATAGGATGGGATGGGGGTTGGTGGGAGGAACAGGGGATGACAGGACATGTAAAACAAGCTTGTTTCAAATTTAAATAAAAATAAATATTAGTTCAAATAAATAAATAAATTAGATCTCCAGAACTCACATGATGGAGAGAACTGACTAATGCTTACTGTCCTCTCATCTCCACATGTGCACTATGTCACATACATGAAATAAATACACAATTAAAAAAAAACAAAACAAAGTTGGAAAGTAATGGCATCCACCTTTAATCCTAGTACTTAAGAGGCAGAGGCAGGTGGATCTCAGTGCGTTTGAGGCCAGCCTGGTCTACAGAGTAGGTTAAAGGACAGCCAGGAAATGTTACATAGAGAAACCCTATCTCAAAAAAGCAAAACAAAGAAACAAGCCCAAAGTAATAATAAAAGATAAAATGTTTGGAAATGCTGGGGCTTGAACACTCTACCAAGGCTTCCTCTCAGCCCATAAAGCACGTCCTAAGGTAGGAAACATCCTCTGACTGGTTAGACAGAGCAGTGTTGGCAAGAAGCCAACCAAATTTATCTGCAACAACTGGCAGTCAACAATCAACTCCCAGGCCTCATTTTGCTCCTAGAAGCCCAGGACCCCACAGCCCATGCTGCCTGCATCTCTATGTACATGTGTGCATAGAAGCATGAGTGCTCCTGGAGACTGGAGAACAGCCCAGACTGCAGTTCCTCCAAATAGGGCATGCTGGCTGACAGACTAACAAACCCCAGGTATTCACCTGTCTCCTCCCTAGCACTAGAATTACAGTAGCACCACGCCAGGCTTCTTACATTGGTTCTGGAGAGCAAATCTGCATCCTCACACTTGTCAGACAATCACTGTATGAACTAAGCCATCTCCCTTCCATGCCCACACCCACCTTCTCCTTTGAAAGCCAGATTTCAAAAGCAAGACGGTAAATTTCCCCATGGCTCTCACCTCCTCTCACTTGACGGACTGGCACCAAACTGTCCCTTCTTGATGGAGGCACCAGATCTTCAGGAGCAATAACTTGTCTGAGTTCCCATCTTGATATGAATGGCAAACAACAAAAACCCGGCAAATCTGAGGGCTTGCTGACTCAGCCACACCAATCCCGAGGTACCTTTGCCAAAAAGGTGATTAAGTCTTCAATGAAGAGAAAACGAGCGCCCAGATGTTGGATCCAGTGTACTGTGGCTGGAGACTGGAAACTACCAGATTTACTTTCCAGCAGCCTGGGCAGAGAGTAAAAGGTATGGCAGTCTTTCTCAGTTCACACAACTGAACCCTTTCCCAGAAAAGGCTGTATGAAGATTTCAGTCCTCACAATACATAAACAAAGGGCCTAGATACCTAAGTAGCTGTTTTCTGGCTACTAGAAATCCACTTTATAGAATTATTTTTTAGTTTTTTTTTTTTTCTGTTTGTTTGTTTTTTTTGAGAAAGGGACACAGTATACAGCTTAGGGCTGACCTGAAACTCCTGACTCTCATGTTATGTTTCTGCCTCACAAGTGTGGAAAGTACAGGCAAAAGTCACCACAGCTTGCTACACAGCACAAGGAAGCTTTGAACTTGCTACCCGGATACCTTCATCTCTCAAGTGCTAGGATTACAAGCGTGCTGCAAATCTCTGGGCTCTCCAGAACTATAAAGGGGCAAGGGTGGCATACAGAAACAGCGCTCCTTAAAGGTTTTGCCTCTGTACACATTGGCATTTGTGCCTTTGTGGGGGCAAAGCTAAGGCGGGCAACCCGCAGTTGGCTCTGAGGAACAGGATGAAAAGCAGAGCTTCAAAACAGAGACTCCCTCAAAGTGCCCCAGGGACCCAGTTTGAGAGAGACCGAGAATGGAAAAGCAAACGCCTCCAAAGTCCAACTCCCAGTCAGTGGTGGCGCACTATTGCCTGAATGCAGCCCCCCCCCCTCCCGGGCTGAAACTGTCCCCTCGGGGAACCAGGGTAGCAAGCAACAGCCTCACTGCTCTTCCAGGTCCTGTAGGACTCAAACTCTCTCAGGCAGGCGACCCCCGCCTCTGCAAAAATAGGGCTCTCACCACACCCAGCTCTGTCCCCAACGCCCAGAGCGTCCCAACTACGACTTCCCGCTGCCAGGACCCTGGTGCCCCCAGAGCCCAATGCTCCCAGCGCCCCCAGGACTCACCCATCCCGCCGGCACGGCCCTCCCTCCCTCCCTCCCACGACCGCCCCCTTCCGGTCCCAGCTTGGCTCAATAGCCCCCTCTCCTCAACCCACCCACCCACCTTCAGGACCCCAGCCCGGGCACCAGCAGGTGGCCCGTCCGCCCCGCTCACCGAGTCTGAGGGAAGCAGAGGGGACAGGTGGAGAGGACCGCCGACCTCCGGCTTCAGCTCGGGCTCGGCCTGGCAAGAAGCCCCCGACTATAGCTCCGACTACGAGCGGGAGGCAGCCGGAGTGAAACTCGGCGTCGCAGCCTCCCAGCGCCGCGTTGCGCATGTGCCCCCTCGCGTGGTGCCATCTGGGAAATGTAGTTCTGACAAGGCGGAGTGGGAGGAACCAAAGCGCACCAGCAAATGTTAAAGAACCCAACCTTCCTTCACTCACCTGCTTACTGACTTACTCCATTAACTACTGACTCATTTGGTTTTTAATAATTTTCATGTTTCCGTATTATTATTACTATTATTTATTGTGTGTATATGATGGGAGTGGGTTACATATAAAGGTCAAAAAACAATTTTAGGATTCTGTTCTCCTCTTCCACCTTCTCGTAGGTTCCGTGGATAGAATACAAGTTGTCAGGCTTGGCAACAAGCGCTTTACCCTCTAAGCCATCTTGCCAGCCCCTGATGTTTCTTTTTTGTGGTGCTGCGGATCAAATTCAAGGCAAGCACATTAGGCAAGTGTTTCACTACTAACGAGTCCCCAGCTATGAATTCACTTTTTTATTTTATTTTATTTTTGAGTGAGGGTCTCATGTAGCTCACAGTGGCTTCGAATTTGCCTTGAACTCCTGATCCTTCTGCCTCTGCTTCCTAATGACTGAGCTTACAGTTTCAAAAAACATAAATTCTAAATTAAGAAAATAACCTTTTTTTTTTTTTAATTGTTTAAGCCCTGGCACACTTATCTAGCTAGGAGACAGGAGACCCGTGTGTTTGCAAATGAAGTCCTTAAAACTCCACTTCATGTGACAGAGCATGTTCCATCTCCTGGAGTCAGCTCCCAGCTCACCCAGAAGCAAGAAAAGATGAGCACAGCCAAAGAAGTAGAGAGGCCTGGCCTCGGCATTGTAGCTGAGGGGCTGGAATGCTTGCTACTGTTTTGCTTGGAAAGGCAGAATTGTGTTGCTTCCTGCCTCTGCTAATTGGTCTCCATCTGACACTCTGGAGGGACAGTCTGATAAGACACAGCTGCTTTGCTCATTATTTCTGATGAATGGATGGCACCTGGCATCTCCTGGTGATGATGGTAACCACCCAGGGCCCACGTGCAAGATCTTAATGACTTCACAGCCCCAAGGAATACACAAGTCTGTCCGGCAAAAGCTGTCTATATAAGCCCCTCCTAGGAGGGTTTTGTTTTTTGAGAAAACTGGGTCTTATGTAGTCTAACCTAGCTTCAAAGACAGTCTTCAACTTCTAATCCTCCTGCATCTACCTGCAGAGCATTGGGATTGCAGGTGTGTGCCATCTTTCCCAGTTTCATGCAGTGCTGGGGATGGGGGTTAGAAACCCAGGGCTTCCAGCGTGCTGGGCAAGTGCTCTAGCTCAGCTACATATATCCCCAGCCCTTGGAGAATTGAACAGACCCCTCCCATCTGCTGATTTCCGTCTTGCATTTATTAGAGGCTAGGCGGGTCTCAGGCGGTAGCATTTCTACTGGTTGCTCAGTCCCTTCAGTCTTCTGAGGGCAGACTTCACTGTGACGACAGAGGTAGTGTTGTAGGTCCAGGCCCCACCAGCCACTGTTTCCATGCAGGAACCACAATGCCAGATGCCAACGGCTCATCTCTTCATCTTGGTCTGGCCACAGAAGGAACAGGTGTACTTAGCGTGCTGGCTGATTTCAATTTTCATCGCCATTTTCCGGAGGGAGGCACCATAGTGGGTCCCGTATTTCCCGATGATCCTGACCTTCTTTGATGCATTTAGCTGGAACCTAAGCCCAAGCCTGGAGAGGAAGCAAGGGCTCATATTTTTTATTTCTTTGTACAGAGACAGGGTGTGCCACAGCATGCCTATAGAGGAAAGGGAAATCCCTTTGGGTTCTCTTCTACCATGTGAGTCCTGAAATTGAACTCAAGTCATGAGACTCTGTGACAAGTATCTTTACTTGCTGACCCCTTTTGATGGCCTTGTGTTCATACTTAATTCATCCCCAGATTTTAACTGTAGCCAATCCTTTTTTTTTTTTTTAAGACAACTGCTCCCCATACAGCCCAGGCTGAACCTCACTGTGTAATTCAGTTTGTTTTAACCTTGTAGCCTCATATTTCAGATTCTGTGCATAAAGAATTAAAAAAAAAAACAATTTTTATTTTAAATCTGCTTTAAATCACCTAAATTCAAACCCCAGACAAACACCCCAAAAAAGTGAAGAAACACCCCCACCCCACCTTTTATTCTTTTCAATAAAGATGCAATTGATTTGTGCGCCCATGGATTGACTTAACTAGTTTGATGGTGGCTATGGGCCACAACTCTTTTTTCTAATATCTAAGCAAACGAATTAAGATTTCTTTGAAGATTTTTATTCTTTGAAATTAAAATATGACCTCATAGCTCCCGCCACCTTTTCTTCCCTCTAAGCACTGCCAAGTACCTTCCTCCTTGCTCTCTTCACAAATCTGTGGCCTCTTTTTACATATGTGAATAAGAATTCAGGCATTATGCTGGCCTGCCTCTGTCACCCGGCAGAATGCACTCAGGCAGTACCCTGGTCAGCCTAGGGTTCCATGATTATGTAGTCTGGACGCGGGTGCAAAGGACCCCTTTAAAAGACAGACTTCCCCCCCCCCCACACACACACACTTTCACTCTCTGTTCCTGCTCTGTGTGCTCTCCTGGGGCACACAGGACTTTTCCTGCCTCTCTTCTCTTCTGTCCTGTCTCTGTGTCTCTTTACCTCTTTTCTCTTCCATTCCCTCTCCCTTTCTATTAAAACTTCACACTTAAGCTCTGGCTGCCTGCCGTGTGTTTGTTCCCCACCTCGGTGACCCTCGCCCACCATGGTCCCCCACACAAGGTACCCTTCAAGCTTTATGATAACATTGGTGCGGTGATCCTTGTAACGTGTGTATCATATATATATGATATATATATGTAACATGTGGACTGAATAGGTTATTTATATATATATATATATATATATATATATTATATGTGCATAATTTTGAGTCTTAAACAGATTTTTGACATTTTCACTTTGTATACAGTAATTTTCAGTCCTTTAATGACTCATCCATGTCCAACTTCCCTTTTTCCTCTATGAATCACGAAGGCAAAGTTTTCAACCCATCCTTAAGTGTTACCGTAGGATGTACTTGAGGCCTTGGGGACAAAATCAAACGTAGGAAGCTGCCATAAATACTAGAGGAAAAGGAGGTTTGGGTAACATGTCAAGATGACTTCCAGCTGCCGCCAATATTCTTCCTAGTCCCATGTGTGGTCAAGAAAAGCCCAGGCTCACCTCAAACTCCTCCTGTGACTGAGGATGGGCTTGAACCTCTGACCCTCTCATTGGGATTACAGCTGTGCACCACTAGGCCCGGTTCATGTGGTTTTGAACCCAGAGTTTAATGTTTACTAGCCAGCACTCTATCAACTAAGCTATATTTCTAGGCCCTAGTTAATTTGAAATTTTCTCAAGCTATTGGGACACAATTCCCCATACCTCATCGGTATCATTTCAGAGAAATCTACCTTGGCAAAACTGGGATTTGTGCTTCATTTATGCTTTAAGAGATAAATGAATTTTATGGTGAGCCAAGAATGAAACAAAGCTGGATCTATTAAAAATAAAATAAAAAAAAAAAAAGGGGGGGTTAGGCACACTTTTAATCCCAGCACTCAGGAAGCAGAAACAGGGGGATCTCTGAGTTCAAGGCCAGCCTGGTCTACAAAGTGAGTTCCAGGACAGCCAGGCCTACACCCGAGAGAAAACCCGAGAGAGGAGAGGAGAGAAGAAGGGAGGGGAGGGGAGGAGATGGGAGGGAGGGGAGGGGAGAATAAGGGAGGGGAGGGGAGGATAAGGGAGGGGAGGGGAGGGGAGAATAAGGGAGGGGAGCCAGCAGAACGGCTTAGTGGGGAAAGGTGCCTGCCACCAAACTTGGTGACTTGAGTTCAATCCAACAACCTCATGATAGAATAACCATGAGTGGTTGTCACCCCAACATGTGTGCCCTCACACACATACACATAATTTAAAACATAAATTTGTTTAGATAGAAGGATTCTCCAGGAAAGAATGAAGTACACCCAGAAGGACAAGTATGGGTGTTCTGTAGGTTTGTTTTTTTTTTTTTGGTGGGGGGGGGGGTTGGAGGGGAGTTGAAACAGGGTTTCTCAGCCCTGGGATTAAGGGCATGCCACACTTGACTACCATTAAGTTTCTTTATGATGAGTCTGTAAGGCATTCTTGGTGGCTCTCAAATCGAATCTTTAAAAGTTATGAAGAAAATACTGTATGTCCAGTTCAACATTGTCCAAAGAGTGTAACTTGTAAGATTAAAAATTAATGAATTTTGGGGCTGGAGAGACAGTTCAGCGATTAAGAGCTCTGTCTACTCTACCAGAGGTCCTGAGTTCAATTTCCCAGCAACCACATGGTGGCTCATAACCATCTGTAGTGAGATCTGGTGCCCTCTTCTGGCCTGCAGGCATACATGTAGGCAGAACACTACACAAAAAATAAATCTTAGGGGGAAAAAAAATTAATTTTACAGTGCTCTCCCAAGGCAGAGCAGGTGAGTCTCTGAGTTCCAGGGTGACTGGGGCTATACAATGACACTGTATCTGGGGTAGGGAGTGGGAAGCAAAACATTTCAGTGGCTGGAAAGAGATATCTCAGTGACTAAGAGTGATTGCTACTTTGCAGAGGACCAGAGTTGGATTCCCAGCACACACATGATAACTCACAGCCATCTATAACCCTAGTTCCAGGGGTTCCAACGCCCCCTCCAGGCCTCTTCAGGCACTGCAGGGACATAGTCCACAGACATACACTCAGACAAGATACTTGAACGTATAAAATAAAATCTTTTAAAAATGTTAAAGAAATTTTCTTAGTAAACAATGTGGTGAAGCAGAAAGATAAAATTTAATGTCAACTAAAAAAAGTTGACAGCCAGGCATGGAGGCACATTCTGGAGACAGAGGCAGGAGGATCTCTGTGAATCTTAAGGCCAGCCTTATCTACACTCATCGCTGAGATTGCCAGGACTACATAGAGACCCTGTCTCAAAAAACAAAAAAACAAAAAAACAACAACAACAAAAAAAACAAAACAAAAACAGAGTGCCAAGTTTCATGGCACACACCTTTCTTTTCCCAGCACTCTGAAGGCAGAGGCAGGCAAGTCTCTGAATTTGAGGTCAGCATGGTCGACAGAGTGAGTTTCAGGACAGCCAGGGCTACACAGAGAAACCCTGTCTCAAATAAATAAGACGTTTTTGTGTGTGCACATGTCTGGAGATGAAATGTTAACTCTCATGAGTTTGTTCTTTCCTTTCACTTATGAGAACCAGGGATTGAACTCCATTCCTCAGGCACCTTTACCCACTGAGCCATCATGCCAGCCCAGGTTACACATCATTTTATCTCTAAGTAATCGCAGACTAATCACGGCCTTGGTATCTTTGATGTGTCTCTCCTGGGAAAGCATTACCGGGCCCCAAATGACCATAATTTCTACCTTTCTCATCAGTTAAAGCAGATCAGATGGCAGGAACAAAGTCTCCACCCTCTTCCATGTCTCCATAATGCTTTCTTTTGCAATCCTGCATCAGTATCTCTGGTGGAGGCCACCGCTCCTGGGGATGGGATAGCTTTTGGGCTGAAGATCAGATGGCCCCACCTGCACGTCAAATCCTAGTCATACTTCCTCTGTACCACAGACACAGCCGCTTCCTCTTTGTTATGAGGAAATGAAAGAACAGTTGAATGAAGGACATGCTCTCAGACTGTCACAGCACCCGGGAACTTGAGGACAAGGAACAGATGGAGTTTCATTAAAGAAATGGCCCCAGCATGTCCTTGGAGTCACACTCACAGAACAGTGCCTGTTGGGTGCTGGAGAGAGGGCTCAGCAGTTAAGAGCATGCCCTGCTCTTCAGAGAATTCAAAGTTTGGTTTCAAGAACCCACATGGAGCAGCTCCCAACCATCTGTAAGTCCAGCTTCAGGAGATGCAATGCCCAGTTCTGGCTTCATCTGATTGCTCTGGCAGAGGACCTGACCTGGGTTTGCTCAGAAGCACCCATAAGGTAGCTCACAACCATCTGGGACGTTAGTCCCAGGAGATCTGATGCCTTCTGCTGACCCTGCATACACATGGTACACAGAATGCATAGACACACAAGGCAGGCGAAATACCCCCCCACACACATTTTTAAATAGTTTTCTAAATAAATTTCCCATTTATTTTTCTTTTTGTTTTTTGTTTTGGTTTGGTTTTGGTTTTTGAGACAGGGTTTCTCTGTATTGCTTTGGAGCCTGTCCTGGAACTCACTCTGTAGACCAGGCTGGCCAGGAACTCACAGAGATCTGCCTGCTTCTGCCTCCCGAATGCTGGGACTAAATCCTGTCTTGAAAAAAACCATCAAGGCAGAGATGACTGACAGGAGTAAGATGGCAAATGGACCACCTGACCAACCCAGAGTTCTTTGCAACAGTTCTGCTGTATCAGTCAGTACACCGTGGTAGCACACACATGATCCAAGTACCTAGAAAGCTAAGGTAAGTAGCTAGCTCCAGGCCAGCCTGGGCTACAGTATGAGACAGCCTCCACCCCCACCAAAATAATTTAAACAACAAAAAACAAAAACACAAGAACTTGAGGCCAATGAGATGGTTCAGTGAGTAAAGGCGCTTGCCACCAAGTCTGATAACGTGAGTCTAATAGCTAGGCTTCACATGGTGGAAGGAGAATGCCAACTCCCATAAAATTGCCCTCTGGCTCCCTCACATACATGTGCACACACACACACACACACACACACACACACACACACACACAGAGAGAGAGAGAGAGAGAGAGAGAGAGAGAGAGAGAGTTAAAAAAAAAAAGCCAAATCAGGCATGGTGGCTCACACCTTTAATCCCAGTACTCAGGAGGCAGAGGCAGACAGGCCTGTGATTTCGAGGCTAATAATTGAGTTCCAGAACAGCCAAGGCTATTACACAGAGAAACTCTTGTCTTGTAAAGCCAAGAAAAAAGGAAGCTGGCAAAATGGGGGACACCTGTAATTCTAGTGCCTGGGATGCAGGAAGATCTTGAAGTCAAGGTCATCTTCAGCTACATTAAGTAAGTTCAAAGCATCCTGTAAACACATGTCTCAAAATAGTCAGGCTGGGGATATGGCTCAGCAGATAGTTTGCCTAGCATGCATAAAGGCCTGAATTCCAGTCCTTGCAATGCATAAACTAGATTTGGTAGATTATAACTGTAATCCCAGCACACAGGAGATATAGGCAGGGAAGTCCATTCAAAGTCATCCTCAGTAACATACAAGTTCAAGGTCAGCCCTAGGTAAGAGCCCCAATTTCAAAAAACAAAACAAAATCCCAAGACATATGTAATTCTAAATCCTCCACTTACCCTTGTGTATGTACACACACACACACACACACACAGAGAGAGAGAGAGAGAGAGAGAGACAGACAGACAGACACACACACACACACACACACATCTTCAACCTGGTCTTTCACACTCTTCTATCTGGTTTTTAAAATTGTTTTTAAAAAATTTCTGGGCCTGGTGGTTGTGGAGCATGCTTTTAGTCCCAGCACTCAGGAGGCAGAGCAGGCAGATCTCTGTGGGTTCTAGACCAGCCTGGTCTACAAGAGCTAGTTCCAGGCAGCCTCCAAAGCCAGAGAGAAAACCGGTCTCAAACAAAATTAAAAAATAAAAGTTAAAAACTGATGTGTGTGTTGAAGTCAGGATGGCACACAGGAACCTGTTCTTCCCCTATAGGTTCCAGGGATTGAACTCAGGGTGTTCGGTTTGCCATCAAGTACCTTTGCCAGCTGAGCCATCTCAAACTTGACCCATCTATTTTTGACACCTCCCCAGCTATCAGTCACATTTCTAGTCAACACTTGAATATCAAGGAATTTCCACATCCTCAGTAGACCAAGAGGATACCTTGCTCTAAATACATTGTAGACACCAAGTATCATTGGTTACAAGTTTATAATCCTAGGGTGCTCAAGAGTTTAAAGCTAGCCTTGGTTTCATGACACCCCATCTCAGGAAGTCTGGAGATAGTCTTGTGCATTCTACCTGTGGTGGTTTGAAAGAAAATGGACCCCAGAGGTAGTGGCACTATTAGGAGGCATGACCTTGTTGAAGTGTGTCACTGGGGAGGGGGAGGGTTGAGATCTCCTAAGCCCAAACTAAGCTCAGTATGGTTCACAGTTCACTTCCTGTTGCCTTCAGATCAAGATGTCAAACTTAGCTCCTTCTACAATACCATGTCTGCCTGCATGCTACCAAGTCCCACTATAATAATGGACTTCAACCCTCTGAAATTGCAAGCCACCCCAATTAAATGTTTTCCTTTACAAGAGTCAAGGTCATAGTGTCTCTTCACAGTGATAGACACTAGACAAGCATACTGCTCCTGAACTACAGCTCCAGCCCAAGCCCTGTGAGTATCTGCCTTCAGCATGACCCCCACGAGCTGCTATATTGCAGCATCCTCCGATTCCTGTAGGTCTATGCCTAACAACTGCAACCAGCAGGCAAACATTCATTTGGCCCATTAAAGTCCTAAATGCCACTGGGGAGTGGTGGCAGATGCCTTTAATCCCAGCACTTGGGAGGCAGAGGCAGGTGCATTTTAGTGAGTTCTAGGCTAAGCTGGTCTACAAAGTGAGTTCCAGGAAATGTCAGAAACCCTGCCTTGAAAAACAACAAAACAAAAAGCTCTGAGGGAGTGTCATGTCAAGTTGCTAGAAAAGGCAAGATACTGCTGAGCTTGGTCGTGCATGCTGGGAGTACTAGAACTTGAACTTGGGAGACAGGAACAAAATGGTCAGGAACTCAAGCTTGTCTTCAGTTATGCAAGTCTAAGGCCAGATATCTCAAACAAACAAAAAAAAAAGGATTGCCTTTTAGGCTAGACTGGGAATGTAAGCTCAGTGGTGGGGCACTTTCTTAGTTAGCATGTGCAAGGCCCCGGATTTAATCCACAGTCTCACTAGGCAACGTGGTACTCAGTCCACTTGAGTGGAGGTTTCAAACCCAAACGAAAGCAACCCTTCCCACTGAAGCTGAGAGTGAATGGACTTAGGAGAGTAAAAACATATGCTGAGACAACTCTTCCTGAATCATGAGACCCAGGTAATTCCCAATCACCCCTTCTGAGGCCTTTAACTACCAAAGGAATCGAATCTCCCAGAACCCACAACTATTACATACCCCAAAATGCTACTCTGGGTAATCACCCAGAACTAAAATTTAGACAACCCCTGGACGTTGGTGGTACACGCCTTTAGTCCCAGCATTTGGGAGGCAGAGGCAGGTGGATCCGAGTTTGAGGCCAGCCCAGTCTACAAAGCTAATTCCAGGACAGGCTCTGAAGCAATACAAAGAAACCCTATCTCGAGAAACAACAAAATTTAGTCAACTTAATTTGCGATGTTTTTCTGCTTTGAGCTTACTAGCTACAGGGGTTTTTTAAGTTTTTTTTTTTTTTAAATGTACGCATGTGTGCAGATGTCTGTGGAGGCCAGAGAAGGGCATCAGATCTTCTAGAGCTGGAGGTTCAAGTAGATCCCAGCAACTACATTGTGAACCACCTCATGTGGATGCTGGGATCTGAAAAATGTCCTCTGGAAGAACAGGAAGTGCTCCTAGTCAGTAACCATTTCTCTATCCCCTATAAGTTTATGTTTATCAGTGTCACACAGACTAGGAAGGCCTCCAACTTTCTACAAAACCCTCCTGCCTCCACCTCTGAAGTGTTGAGATGAGAGGCATGAGCCATCACCAATTCCTTACTCCCCAACTCAGATACAGGCAATAAACCACATTCAGACACTGGATCTTTTTATTGTGAAAGGGATACAACATGGGAAGTAGTGTGACTCTGCTTGGTGACACCAAGGACAATAGCAGCCAGGATCAAGAATGCAACTGCGGCTAGGCCTAAGCCAAGAACCAAAGAGGTATGATCAGAAGAGGCCCAGCCTTCCACAGCCCGGTCGCTTGCCTTTCCCAGGAAGATCAGAGGCCCTACAGTGACATCAGCTTCATCTCTCACTGTAAAAGAACAGAACATGGGGAAGGTTTTGTTCTATGCTTGGTCTAGAGAATCATACCCAAGACCTCAAGAATGCTAGTCAAGAGCTTTGATGAGCCACACCCCAGCCCCTCACTGGGGGATTCTAGGCAGGTGCTCTACCACTGAGCCACACCTGAGCCCCTCACTGGGAGAGTCTAGGCAGGTGCTCTACCACTCAGCCACACCCCAGCCCCTCACTGGGGGGTTCTTGGCAAGCACTCTACTGTAGAGCCTTTCATGTTTGGTTTCTTGAGACAGGGTCTCCTACACAGCCCAGGCTGACCTGGAACTGTGATCTGTCTTAGCCTCCCCAGGGCTGCTATCACTCAGCTCTCAAGTTGAATATGTTTCCTAAGTCTCATTTTGCTCTGTCTCAGTGGATTGGGAAGAGCTCAGCACCCTCTTGAGATTCAAGATATTATCAAGTCCCAGACGACATTGGCATTCCCCAAGTCAACCATCTTGATGGAGAAAAAGGAAGCAAAGACAGCAGGTGTCTTAAAGAGGATGAGGAATGAATGGATCATGCCTGTGACATACCGTGCCTGCGGTTTCTAGAAGCTGGCTTGGGCCACTGGCTCACTTCATGGGCCTGGTGCTTTGCATAGCTTGAGCTACCACAGTTGCCCTTATTGCAGCAATCACAGATGTCAGCATCGCCCTCTACTGGCAGCCAACTGAGGTGAAACACAAACGGCTTAGACCCCTGGTGCCAATTGTTTAGGTGAAGAAACAGATGTGGGGTTTCTGGGGGCCCCACACCCATATCCTGGTCCTCTCACCTCTTGGAAGTCCTGTTGAAGGAACAGGCTTTGTTGAGCTCGTCTGGGATCTGGTTGGCTGGAGTGACTTTGAGATGACAAGTGATATAGACCTGAAACGAGTCACCAGCGGGCTGAGTTTAAAGATGCCATCAATGTCTTTAAAGTCATGTAGAAAGCCGGGTATGGCAGTGCAGCAACTCAGGAGGCAGAGACAAGTGGATCCAAGTTCGAGGCCAGCCTGGATTACAGAGCGAGTTCCAGGACAGCCTATCTGGAGTGGGGGGTGAGGGGAAAAAATACTGGCAACTTTTCAGAGGACCTGAGTTCAATTCCCACCACCTACATGGCTAGGATCCCTTTTGGCCTCTGCAGGCTCTGCATGATGTTTACAGACTAGCACTCAGGCATCCACACATACACATCAAGTTTTTCAGTTTTCTGAGTAAAAAAGTTTTAAAACTGGTGAAGGAGAGATGGCTCATTGGGCAAAGGTATTTGTCACCAAGACTAATGAACTTGAGTTTGATCCCTGGAGTCCACTTGGTAGAGGAAGACAACCAGCTTCCATTTGTCCTTAGACACTCACTCTCTCTCTCTCTCTCTCTCTCTCTCTCTCTCTCTCTCTCTCTCTCACACACACACACACACACACACACACACACACACACACACACACACTAAGCCCTAGGCAGTAGCATACATCCTTCAAAATCTAGGCAGAGGCAGGCAGATCTGTGAGTTCAATGCCAGCCTAGTCTACATAGTGAGCCTCAGGCTAACCAGGACACATAGTGAGACCCCATCTCAAAAACAAAAGACAATACAAAAATATAATTAAAATATAACTGTCGACTTGATTTGTGTTTATGGATTGTGTGCTGTGGCTCAAGCCCAGAGCCCTGTGTATCTACAGAAGGACTACTCTGGAGTTCTATGCACAGCCCCCAGCTTATACCTTTTTGAAGCAGCTCCATAGCCCAGGCACAATGGGTCCTCCAGAAGAGCTCTTAGCTGATGAGCTATCTATCCATCTCCTCGGCCCTGGGAATTAACTTTTGTTTTCTGGGGGAACACAAGGTCTCACTATGTTCACATTGATTGGCCTGGACCGCACATTTACAATCAGACTAGCCTCACACTTAGCTCCACCTGCCTCTGCCTCCAGAGTGCCAAGATTAAAATAGGTATGTGAGCCAGGCAGTGGTGGCACACACCTCTAATCCCTTCCACCACTGGGGAGGCAGAGGCAGGTGCATCTCTGGGTTTGAGACCAGTCTGGTCTACAGAGCAAGGTCAAGGACAGGCTCCAGAGCTACACAGAGAAACCCGGTCTCAAAAAAATGAACAAAATAAAATAGATGTGTGCCAGTATGCCCAACCCAGCTGTTTAGGGTTTTGTTTTTATTTTATTACTGTGTGTTTTGCCTGCATACATGCACAAACACGCATACTTGGTGCCTGAGGAAGACAAAATGTTGGATCCCTAGAACTAGTTGCAGATGGTTGTGAGCCATCATAAGGAATCAACCCAGGTCCTCTGAAAGGGCAGCCAGTATTTTTTTTTTTTCTAAGATTAGGTTTCTCTGTGGCTTTGGAAGCTATCCTGGAACTAGCTCTTGTAGACCAGGCTGACCTTGAACTCAAGAGATCCTCATGCCTCCCGAGTGCTGGCACTAAAGGTGTGTGCCACCACCGTGGCCCCGCCAGCCAGTACTTTTTTTTTTTTTTGACTTATTTTTACTTTATGTACATTGGTGTGTTGCTTGCATGTATGTCTGTGTGAGAGTGTCAGATCCCCTGGAGGTGGAGTTGCAGGCAGTTGTAAGCTGTCATGTAGGTGATGGGAATTGAACCCAGGTCAGTGGAAGAACAGTCAGCACTCAACTGCTGAGCTATCTCTCCAGCTCCTGTTTTAATCCAGTTCTCCAGTTTAAGCCCCAACAAACCCATACAGGTTGAGGGCCTCACTGAGCCCACAGCTTTTTTTTCTACTTGTTACCTTCTATTTCTAGCATGGTAGGCCATTCGTTCACGGGAAGCACTTTTGGTAATGGATAACCAGACTAGAGGTTCAGGCTTATGCTCAACTGTCAAGAAATTTCATTACCATATTTCTGGAGTAATTGGCAAAATGGAATACATCCACTGTGAACTGGAGAGTCTCTGGCCGGGGTCTAGGGGCTTGAAATGCAGAAAAACTCTCAGATAGACCATCCACAAGGCATCTTGGAAGGGAAGAAGTGAAGAACAGCATTAATCTACCAGCTAGATCATCTCATTACCAAAGTTCCTGCGAAGCCAGATGTCTTTGTTTGCTTTTTGTTGCTGTGATAGAAAAGGACCAACGGAAAGGTGGGGAGAACAGTGTTTGGCTTCAGAGGCTACAGTTCATCATTGAGGGAAACCAAGATGGAACTCGAGGGGCCTAGAGACAGGAGCTGAAGGGCAGACCCTGAAGGAAAGTGACCTAAGGCTTGCTCGGTTGTTTCTTACATACCCAGGCCTACTTCATTGCCTGGCTCCTCCTGCATCAATTGCTAGTTAAGAAGAAAGAACCACAGACATGCCCGTAGGCTAATCTGATGGAAGCTCCTCTTCTCAAGATGGTATCAGACAAAGTGGCTCACTCTTGTAATCCCAACACTCCAAAGACTGAAACAGGATTTTGTTTTAAGACTTCAAAGTAGAAGGTAACTTAGTTGTGAGGAGAAAGGGCATTAGTGGGAGTGGGGAGCCAGAGAAGGTAATGAGGGTGAATCTGATCAAAATTCATATAATCTATGCTAGTAAAATACTTAAGAAGCCAAGGGGCAGTAAGTGACTCCCTAGAAAGGAGGCCAGGTCTCACCCATGGAAGTCCACAATGACGTGATAGGGAGAGGCAGTCTGGTCTGGCGAAGGTGTGGCCACACAGTGGTCCACAAACAGCTGCAGTGGCAGGTGGCTTCCGGTCTGGACCTCTGCCTGGAGGTAAGCTACCTCTCCCAGGTGGAAGGTGGGTGACAATTTCTCAGTGTTCCAGTTCTCTGAAAGGGCAGAGACAGGGACTAAGAGACTGTCCAGAGGCATCTGCACTCCCCCCTCCCCTAACCTCCGCCCCCTCCCACTCACCTTCCATCAGGCGGAGAGAAAAAGCCATGGTCTCCTCTGAGGATACAGTGGTGCTGAAGGGAATCCAGGTGGGCCGGATAGCGTGGCTGCTCACGTTGCCCTGCCTGTGTGAGAAACTACAGCTGCTTCCATGCAACTCCATCCTGGCCCAGTGTGTGGTGCAGGGTCATCACACCCCTCCTCTTTTGACAGAGTTCTCAGATGATCAACTAGGTAGCCAGGCCAAGGTCCCCAAAGGTTGGACCGGTCCCTTAACCCCGCTGAATACCTACAACCTGAAAGCAGCCAGGCACTCCAACCGTGGGATCAGACCCCAAAGCATGGAAGAAAACAGGTCTGAGGGTAGAAGCTCCATTAGTAAACTGAAATCTGATCAAATTAGGCCCTGGTAAAAGACAAGCAGAAGCCAGAAGTGGTGTGAACCCAGCACTCAGGAGGTTGGGGCAAGAAGAAAAATAGTGTCCCATTCTGACTTGATTTCAAATAAAGGTGGATTGGGGACATAGCCGATAGAACACTGGCCTAGCTTATATGGGGCCTATTCCATCCCAGCACATCATAGACCACGTGTGGTAGTGCATGCCTGTAATCCCAGCACTCAAAAAGGTCCAGGAAGTAGGATCACAATTCAAAACCACCCTGGTCTGCAAAGCCAATGCCAGGCTAGCCAGTGATACATAACGAAATCCTGTCTAAAGAACAAAATAAAACAAATGAACAAAAGCAAAAGGCTGTGCTTAACTGTGATGCAAGCCTATCATCCCAGTACATCATGACTCTGTGGTTGGCTATATTATATCCATGGCTACTATGGGACATATGCAGGTCACAGCCCACAAGTCTGGGAGATCAACACTTGTGTTCATGTGCAGGCACACCTACACACACACCACACATGGATTGTGGGGGGGCTGCAAGCAAGCCAGGCACACCGCCTCCATCCTGTATCCCAGCACTTGGGAGGCTAAGATAATCATGGAGTTCAAGGCCAGCTAAGTCTACAGTAGAATTCCAGGTCATCCTGTGAAAACACAAAACGAAGCCAGGCCTGCTAGCACACTCTATAACCTAGCATTTAGGAAGTGGAGGTAGGGGAGGAGTTTGAGCCTGGGTTTCACTGAATCCTGTCTCAACTTGGTCTCTCTCCTCTCAGAAAAAAGGCAATCAGTCCCTTAGCCCACACCTGGCATTGGGTTTTCCTCAGCAGGCTACCATTTACAGTAATCACAGCTGCAATCCATTTCCTCAGAGCAACAATGGTTGTCCCACTTGAAGGCAACATCATCCCTTCCCAAGGACCTAGCAGTCCATTCCGCACTGACCTGGGGTAGCGGCACTCAATGGGCACCTCCGCACGGTTAGTCCTCAGGATGGACAGGCCACGCACAGGGCGGGGTTCATGCAGCAGCAAGGTACTGTACACCAGAGCATCTTCTGTCACCTACAGCAAAGTTGTAAGATTTGTGAAAACATGTGCCACCACTGCCCTGCCTGGCTGCAAAATTGTAATTTACAAGATACAAACCACACACCCTGGGGAGGCTTACTTGTCCTAAGAAGTTTCAGGGAATCCAGCCTAAGAAGGCTCAGTTCACCCTGCCCTCTGCTGGTCAGTAAAGAAGCAAGCTAGACTGGAGGAGAGCTCAGTGATTTAGAGTAGCCCTCCAGTTCTAGGGGCTGCACCCACCCTCCATGATGCATGTACACAGAAGCGAAACACCATACACAAAAACCAGAGGCAGCCAGAACTGAGTTTGAGGCCATCCTGGTCTATAGAGAGAGTTATAGGACAGCCAGAGCTACAGAGAAACCCCCCAAAAAAGTTGAACAGCTGTTACTAGTTTTGTGAGATAGGTTGAGCACAGGATGACCTCAAACTTTCAATCCTCCTGCCTCAGCCTCTCAAGAGATACTTGAATTACAAACCAAAGTTCAATTCCAAAGTCTGCTTTAGGACACCTGTGAGTTTTGGGGGCTTATCTACTAAACATGGGTGACCCCAAAGTAGCTGCACCACTGGAAAATTACCCCGGCATGAATGACGACTTCCCCATAGGTGTATGAAATGGACCCTTTCTTCACTGCACACTCTTCTGCACATTCCTAGGCCCTGTGCAATGAAGGAAGAATTATATACAGCTAACTGGAAGGTGTGAGAGGAAGTGATTGAGATCAACTGATGAGCCAAGCAGGGTCCAGCCTGGCTTATCCAAGGTCTACCTACACCTGTCTCCAGGTTCAGCCTCATCCACTTGGACCTACCACCCCGACACAGTTGAAACTTTTTGAACAGGCTTTTGTTAAGGATAGCTCAAGCGATCCTTAAATGTGCTATGTAGTTCAAGATGACCCTGGACTCCTAGTTCTTCTGCCTCTGCTCATCTGAGTGCTGGATTACATGCATACACCACCCCATTGTTTTGTGGTGCTGGGGCTCAAACTCAGCGTCTTATGCTAGGTGTGCACTCTACCGACTGAGCCATGTCTACAACTGGCTGTCAAGAGTGTCAGAATGTCCTCTTTCCCAAACATCTTTTAATTCAAAGCTGCCAGGCATGGTGGTGCACCCCTGTAAACCCAGTGCATCAAAGAAAGCAAAGGCCAGAGTTACAGATACAAGACCCCCTCTCAAACAGTGCACATGTGGAGGGGGCGTGGCTGTAAACTCCAAGTTATTTGCCTTAAAATGTGCTGGATCCAGTCCCCGGCACTGGTTATTGATTTTCCCTATTAGTGATTGGATCCAGATTTTTATATTTTTATTTTCACTTTTGAGGCATGCTCTGTTACTGTCTAGCTTTGACCTTGATAGCCTTCCAATTCAGCCTTCCCAGTGCTGAGATTACTACTGCATGTGCCTGGTTCAGGTGTTTTATTTTGCTCTTTTTTCTTGTAACAGCCTATCATGTAGCCAAAAGCTGTCCTTGAACTCCCAATTCTCTCGCCTTTACTTGGCAAGTACTGGGATTTTGGGCATATGTCAACCAGGCATGCCTTGGCGGGATTTTGTTTGCTTGGTTTTATTTTTGTTTGGTTTTCTGAGATAGGGTTTCTCTGTATTGCTTTGGAGCCTGTCCTGGAACTAGCTCTGTAGAACAGGCTGGCCTCCAACTCAGAGATCCTCCTGCTTCTGCCTCCTGAGTGCTGGGACTAAAGACGTGTGCCACCAATGCCCGGCTATTGGCAGTGACTTTTGGTGCCTCTAGCAAGAACATGGGCTACCCTCTGCATTCACTTCCAACTCTTAGGCTCATCACCCAGCATTCTCTTCGTGGGAAGGGACCACAGATCTTCAGGAGAACCCAGAGTCCGGTGAGTAGGCTAGTCCCAAGAACACAGCTTCTTCCAGAACCCCACTCCCACCCCCATTCACCAGCTTGTAGCAACACCCTCCTCCATCAGTGACCACTCCCTATTTGCAGTGAAAGGAGACAGTCCCATCCCTCACAAGTTCCATCCCCAGTCAACCTCTCAGTGTCCCTTCCCCTCACCAAGGGAGGGACCCATAGCCTCACCTGCACCCTGTTGCTGCATTCATGCAACTGGGCCTTGAACCTGACCACATCGGTATCCACGGAAACCAGGGGCTGACAGCTTTCTGAGCCAAGGGTGAGGTCCCCCGGCTGTATGAGCTTCCCGGTGCCAAAAAGGTCTCTACTGACAGTCACCAGGAACTCAGCTTCCAGACAGTCCACCTCCACAGATGATGTGGGCCTTACTGGGGTCGGAGTTCTGCCTGGCAGGAGCTCCAGAGGCTGGGGACAACATAGCTTGGCGACTCCGCACAGCAAGAGACACAGGAAGAGTTGGTAGGCCGGCCCCATGGTACTGCCCGAATTATGGCCCTGGCCAGGTGCAGAACAAGGGGCAGACACAATCCAGGCATCTTATATCCCTGGATGACCTCCCTCCCACCTGAATTCTCTCGACTTCCTCAGTCTCGGGTGGAGCCTATCACCAACATTATTAGACCTGTGGCCTCAGACCTCATCTTGGACCAATAGTTAGAATCTGGTTTGTAGTTTAAGGCTATCCTCCACACGTGATTCCTATTCCAGGTTTTTATTTATTTCGTTGTTTTTTTTTTTAAATTGCTGTTTGGGGGGTTATTTTGTTTCTTTTCTCTTTTGGGAGGGGTTGTTTGGTTTGGCTTTGTTTTTTGTTTTTTTTTTTTTGTTTTTGTTTTTTTTTGTTTGTTTGTTTTTGTTTTTGAGACAGATTTCACTGTGTAAAAGCCTTGGCTGTCCTGGAACTCACTCAGTAGACCAAGCTGGCCTTGCTCTCAGAGATCTGCCTGCCTTTGCCTCCTGAGTGCTGGTATTTAAGGCCTTCGCCATCACACCAGGCTCATATTCAAGTTTTAATTTTTTCCTAGTGGAATTGGACACAGAGCTTCCTGAATGCTAAGCAAGTGCTCTACCACAAAGTCAGACCCCCAGGCCCTCTCTGGGGGGTTCTAAGCAAGGGCTCTACCATAAACTTCAACCCCCAGCCTTTTTTTTTTTTTTTTTTCCTTTTTTATTTTGAGACAATCTTATTAAGTTGCTGGCACTGGCCTTACCCTGTGGCCTGACAGGCCTGAACTTTACAGCCTCAAGCTCCCAAGTTGCTGTGATGAACGGCCTGAGCCTCAAAGCTCGACTTTGTGTGCACATTAAAGGCTGGTGGGCCATGTTTTTTACTTTCTACCTCTTCCCACCCCTGTGTTCTGTGCTCTGCTGCTGCATATAGAAGCCCATGGCTTCAAGACCAAGAGCTCTTACAGGTAGGGGGAGGGGGCTGCAGAGACGCTTTGATTGGAAGATGCAGGGGTTTTCTTAGAAACAGCTGGGGGATTCTTGTCAAATGAAGACTAAAAAGGCATTAATTAATTAGGCATTAAGAGAAAATGTATGTGCCTGTGACCTATTCAACAGCAAGTGCCTTTACCTGCTAAGCCATTTTGCCAGCCTCTATTTTACTATTATTTGCTTTTACTTTAGACAGATGACTGTGCTAACCTGATTAAAATTTACTTTTTAGAGTTGTGGTCTTGCTATGTCACATATCTGGCCTTGAACTCTGGGCTAAAGTAAGTTTCCTGTCTCAGCCTCCAGATTTTTGCCACTCTCTTGGGCTTCAACATTTATATTTATGTGGATAGATTTATGTAAATGAGTTTTGGGGGATGATAGGGAGGTAGCCCAAGCTTGCCTCAAAATCAGAGTCCTACCCAGCTTTGACTTCATGGTTTATTTTTGTGACACTGGGAGTCAAACCCAGGACCTTGTGTTGACTTTGGTTTTAGCAGATCTTGGCACAAACATCAAAGGACAAATTACTCAGCTGAATCCATCAGAGGGACAATGCTCAATCCATTCCATTTTACGGGAAGTAGACAAGGAAACTTGTTTGGGCAGAGGCAGCTGTGTGAGCCAAGATGGAGAAGGACACTCAGGTGGGCCTGTAGAGATGCTCAGTTACTGAAGCCCAGGTCCCCAAAGAAAAGCCTAGAAGGCTGGTAAGGTGGGCCAGGCAGGATCCTACGGGTACCAGGCTGACATGCTGGACTTAGTGAGTGAAAACATCGACATTGCTGACATTGATAGATGATGTGGTCAACCCTGGTTGGGAAGAGGGAATAGATGCCTCAGAGAGTCAGGTGTCTACTGCACTAGTCCTGGCAGTACTAGTACAGGGCTGATGGTTCCCACCTTGGCTAGCCTGTTAGCCACAGCTGTGTTTGCTGGCTGGGTTGGGAACAGAATGAGCAGGGTTAGAGACAGAAGAGCAGGGTTAATCTGTGTTTTGTACCCAGGTCCCTGAACTGGGGGCCTCCTCCCTCATAGGATGGCAGACAAAAAGCTGGAGATTTGTGAGGCTGGGGTGGCAACACACTCCTGAAACTCCAAGACTTGGAAGACTGAGGCAGGGACATCATGGGTTTGAAGCCAGCCCTGATTACATAGTAAGAGCCAGTCTCACAGAATAAACAAGAGAAGCTATTGAGATGACTCGGCAGCTAAAAGTGTCTGCCTCAAAGTCTAAAGATCTGAGTTCAATCCCAGGAATCTACACAAAGGTGGGCAAAAGGCTGGAGAGATGGCTCAGTAATTAAGAGCACTTACTGCTCTTCCAGAGGACTGGAGTTCAATTCACAGCACCCACACTGGATGACTCCTAAACCACCTGTAACTCCAGCTACAGGGATTTGTAGAAGTTGTCCCTGGCTATCTCAGACATGACATGGTATACACTAGCACACACATATAAATACACATACATAAATATTTAAAAATAAAGGGCAGGAGAGATGGCTCAGTAGTTAGAACATTTGATGCTCTTACAGAGGACCCAGCACTCTGTTCCCAGCACTCACACGGCAGTTCACAGCCATGTAACTCCAGTTCCAGCATGTGCAAATGACACATAAACTTATGTAGGCACATATGCACACCTATAGATAAAAAATAAATAAATAGTAGGGCTAGAGAGAGGGCTCAGTGGTTAGACAGCAATTGTTGCTGTTGCAGAGGACTGAGCTTCTATTCCTAGTGCCCACATGGAGACTCACAACTGTCTGTAACTCCAGTCTCAAGGGATCCAATGCCTTCTTCTTAACTCCAAAGACACCAGGCATGAATGCGATGCATACACATCTATACAAGCAAACCATTCATACACATAAAAATTTTTAATTATTCTAACAAAATGAATAAAAGACAGGTTTTCTCTGTATAACAGTCCTAGTTTTCCTGGAACTCACTCTGTAGACCATGCTGGCCTCGAACTCACAGAGATCTGCCTCCCAGATGCTGGATTAAAGGCATGTGCCACCACCACCCATCCTACCCAAAAAATTTTAAAGGCAGAAGCTAAGGTTGTCACTCAGTGGTAGAGCACCTGCCTAGAATCCCCCAGTGAGTGGCTGGAGGTGTAGCTCTGTGACAGAGTACTTGTTTAGCATATGCAATGCCTTGGGATCCATCCCCAGTGCTAGCATAAATAAATAGGTAAATAAATAGACAGATAAATAATACAAAGGTGAAAAAGTTAGCTCTTATGTAAGTCATCACCATGAGATGTGGAAAATAGATTTTAATTTTTTTTTCTTTGATGCTGTGATCTAAACCTAAGGCCATGCTTGCTGCATTCTGGGTTTTTCTAGAGCAATTCCAGAGCACCTAAGAATGGATGTCAATGGTATTTCATTGCTAAAATGATTCTAGCTAATAAGTAATGAAAGATTTTCATGCAAAAAGAAGCATTTGGCCAGGTGGTGGTGGCAGCAGCACACACCTTTAATCCCAGCACTCGGGAGGCAGAGGCAGGCAGATCTCTGTGAGTTCAAGACCAGCCTGGTCCACAAGAGCGAGTTCCCGAACAACCTTCAACCTCCAAAACCACAGAGAAGCACTGTCTCTAAACACACATACACACACACACACACACACAGAGAGAGAGAGAGAGAGAGAGAGAGAGAGAGAGAGAGAGAGAGAGAGAGAGAGAGAAATACAAAGTGAGTTGTGTGAGTTCTAGGACAGCCAGGACTACACAAAGAAACTCTGTCTCAAAAAACAAACAGAAAGAAAGAGCCAGAGAGAGAGAGAGAGAGAGAGAGAGAGAGAGAGAGAGAAGCATTTGATCCTTGACCGTCTCCATATTCTAAGGAAAGTTGTTTTGTAGACTGGTGTGATGGCTCATTCGGATAAAGATGCTGGCCACCAAGTCTGTGGATCTGAGTTCAATCCTCAGGACCCACAAGGTGAAAGAAAAGCACTTACTCATGCAAGACGTCCCCAGGCTGCCACAGTCACAAACTGGCACATGTGCACCTATACATATTCACAAAAATAAAAGAGTGTTATGTAATTCGGATTTGTTTTTCAAAACAGGGTCTCACTATGTCCTAGCACTCACAGAGATCCCCCTGTCTCTGTGTCGTGAGTGCTGGAATTAAAGGCATGCACCACCAGGTCTGGCTTCTTCTGCTTTTATGGGGATTAACTTCAATTTTTCAGGCATATACAACAAGCATATTCACCCACTGAACCATCTCCGTGGCCTGAATGTTGATTCCCCGCTTTGTTTCTTTCTTTATATTGAGAGAGGGTCTCACTAGGTAGCTGAGGATAACCTTGATCTCACAGTACAGCCATGCTGCCACTCCACCACCAATATCTGATGTTCAGCTGTCCTGCACAGGGATTGGGGACCCATACAGGCTTTCCTGCAACCTGAGCCTGGAAGCAGAAGCTGGGAGAGGAAGGAGGGGCCACCTGGCCGCATAGCTCCTCCTCTTCCTCGGTGCCCTTCCTCTGGGGCAGCTCACATCACCACGGACCACCTCCACTCTCCCTTTGCCTCTCGAGGCTCCAAAGGTCAGGTGGGGACAGGCTGGGGCCACCAGCAGCTCCATGGCCAGAGACATTGCCTCTTCTCTCCTTCTAGCTACGGAAAGAAAAGAAGAAAGGTCTTTGTTGATCTGCATTTGGGGGACTCTTGCCCCTCCTAAACTTCCCAGGGAAGAGGCAGTGATTGGAATTTGGATTATTTGGAGACGAAGGAACAGAAAGGGCCCAGAACATCCCCACAGGTATGAATCTTTCAGTGTTGCTGGTGTGTGTGTGTGTGTGTGTGTGTGTGTATTATGAATCTTAGGAATTCTTCAGTGTTGCTGGTACGTGCATGTGTATTCTCTATGTGTAATAACAGTTTCCTTTTAAGACCTCCAGAACCCCTTCTTTAAAAAAAAAAAAAAACTCAACATTATATTATTTATTTATGTATGTCCACATGCACACACACACACACACACACACACACACACACACACACACAGGACAATCATCACAGGGCAACTTGCAACATGTTGGTCCTGGGAATTGAACTCAGGTCATCAGACTAGGCAGCAATTGCCTTTACCTGCTGAGCCATTTTATCGACTGCTTCCTCAGACCCTTCTTACTGCTTTGTTCTGTGACTCCATAGCGACAATTTCATTCAGTGTTCAACAGATGTCTTCTGAGCACCCTGTGCCCTGGATAACTGTTGAATGAGATCTGACTCTTATCTTGGAGGGGCTACAGATGGGGCCATTCATGACAATAGCAGCACATTAGAGCAGACCAGACACTGGTGAAGCCTTTTCTAACATTAGCCCGTTCAATGTGGCGACAAGTACAAGGCAAAGAATATGAGACCATTTTGCAAATAAAAACTACGAGGCTTTGCAGCTTCACTCAGCACCAGGGCTGAGAGGAAACCTGAGAACACTCAAAAACCCTGGATCAGTAGTTAAGAGCACTTGTTGCTCTTGCAGAAGACCAGGGTTCGATTCCCAGCACCCATATAGTGATTCAAAGCTGTCCCAAGGGATTCAATGCCCTCTTCTGGCTCCCCAGATACAGAGTACATATTCAGTGCCCATATGTACCTGCAGGCAAAACACCCATACCCATTAAACAAGAAAACAAATACTTAAAAGGACTCTGGAAGGCAGATGTGGTGTGGCACCTGCCTATATTCTCAGCATTCAGGAGTGGAAACAGGAGACTGAAGAGTTCAAGGTTTTTTGGCTACATAGGAGTTTGAAATCCTCTCTCAAAAACAAACAAAACGGCCATGGCTTCTTAGGACAGGAACAAGGCAGTCTCTCCATTGCTGTTCACTGAGAACAGGGCAGGAACAGACTCCAGGAGTCATTTTGGAGCTGAAGGTGTAGGGTGGAGGCTGGATTCCTTGGGATGCTGTGATCTGTCGAGTCAGGCTGTCTGAGATTTCAAGTCCTTATGGGCTATCGTGGGGGTGAGTGGCTTTCTCTCTGGCTCTTAGGCTGCAGAAGCAGGGAATACCACTGGGCAGCCGAGGATTTCCGGTCTGGCAGAGGCTTCGGAAGATATAGAAGATATCCGTCCTTCAGGGAGAGAGGTAAACTGGTCCGGGATGGGGGACAGGCCTCCTTGGAAGTGGGTGGCCTGGGAGCCATGGGAAGGCCCAGGAAACTATGCATCTCTACAAGAAAAGATTGGCTTGAAGCTGCCATCCTCCTTACAGTTCTCAGTCGCCCGTGTCCCAGCTGTCCCCAGTCAGGGCAGGAGGAGGACAAAAGGTGATTATTCTGCAGGGGGCTATCCTGGTCTTCCATGAATGGAGTGTTGAAAACCTCGTGTCCACATCCAGATCTGTTTTCACCTCTCTGCCCAAATGCACTGTCTGTATGCCAGGGTGGAGTCAAAAGCCAGAGAGAGAGCCTCCAGGGAGGGGCACCATGCCCCTGGGCACCTTAGACACCAAAGATGCCACACAGGACCATTTCTCCTCTACCAGTTGCTGCCATGCCCACCCCCAAAGTGGCTGGGAGGCAGGTGTGTATGTCTCTCCTCCAGCCCATGCAAGCCGGGTTCTGCCCCGCTCACCACTCCAGCCGTTTTCTGCATCTGTACTTCTCTGCCTTCTGATCTGGTGAAATCCCCTGTCAACCTCCGTCAGTCCAGGCCCAAACACTTAACACCAGATCCACACTCCTGCTGAAGGCTACGAGGAGAGCGGTGCACCTCTGTGTCAGTCTGGGTGCTGAGTGCATGAACTGTATAAAATTTCACTGAGATTCACAGGTAGAATTACTTACATACTTATTTGTTTTTTAGGCAGGCTCTGGCTGGCCTGGAACTCTCCTTTAGACCAGACTGGCCCTCACACTCATAGAGGTCTGCCTGCATCTGGGAATTTTTTTAAAAAAAAAAAAACGATTTACTTATTTATTATGTGGTGGTATTTTGCCTGCATGTCTGCCTGCACACCAGAAGAGGGCACTAGTACTCATTACTGATAGTTGTGAGCCACCATGTGGTTGCTGGGAATTAAACTCAGGACCTTTGGTAGAACAGCCAGTGCTCTTAACCTCTTCAACCCAAGATTTATTTATTTTTGTGTGGTATATTGCCTGCATGTATGCTCTTAACCTCTAAGCCATCTCTTCAACCCAAGATTTATTTATTTTTGTGTGGTATATTGCCTGCATGTATGCTCTTAACCTCTAAGCCATCTCTTCAACCCAAGATTTATTTATTTTTGTGTGGTATATTGCCTGCATGTATGCCTGTGTGAGGGTGCTAGATCCCTTGGGAATGGAGTTACAGATGTTGTGAACTGCCATGTGGGTGCTGGGAATTGAACCCAGGTCATCTGGAAGAGCAGCCAGTGCTTGAATCACTGAGCCATCTTTCCAGCCCACCTCTGGGGATTTGGTTTTTTGTTGTTGTTTGTTTGTTTTTGAGAGGGATGGGGAGCTGAGCCTGAGTCTGACTCTCTGTAACTCAAGCTGGCCTGGTACTCAACAGGCAGCCAGGCTTTGCCTCAAACTTGTGACAATTCTCCTGTCTCAGAAGTAAATAATTATAACAGGATTTTTGTTTTGTTTGACTTTTGAGACAGAGCCTCATTGTAGCTCAGGCTGGCTTTACTGTGTAGCTGAGAGTGACCTTGAACTCTTTTTTAAAAATACTTGTTTACTTATTGGATACACATGAGTGTTTTGCCTACATTCATGTATGTGCACCATGTAGGCACCATGCAGCTGGTACCTATGGTGGTCAGAAGAGGGCACTGAGTCCTCTGAAACTGGAATTAGGGGTGGTTGTGAGTCACCATGTAAGTGCTGGGAATGAACCTGGATTCTTCTAGAAGAGCAGCAAGTGCAAGTGGTCTTAACTGCTGAACCATCTTCCTAGCCTGACCTGAACTGATCTTCCTGACTCCACCTTTTGCATGCGTGCATGTCTGTGTGTGTGTGTGTGTGTGTGTGTATGTGTGCAGTCGTGCTCTTGGGAGGCCAGAGGTTGTTGACAAATGTCCTCCTCACCCACTGCACCTTATTTCTTGAGACAGTATTCGCACTCAGGAGGCAGGAGATCTCTGTGAGATCAAGCCCAGAGTGGTCCACATAGCCAATTCTACAACAGGCACTCTGTCTTTAAAAAAAACAACCAAACAATCCGGGTGTTGTTGGCACATGCCTTTCAACAGTTGGGAGGCAGAGGCAGGCAGATCTCTGAGTTCAAGGCCAGCCTGGTCTAAAGGGAACAGAGGGAGTTCCAGGACAGCCAGGCTACACAAAGAAACCCTGTTTCAAGAAATGAAAATAATAATAATGTAATGAACTAAGTAAATAGATAAATTAAATGTATACACCTACAGCCCCTTAAAATTAACTGGGTTATTTAAGAACCACCTGTAGTACCAGCCACACTTGGAGCTATGAAGGCCTGGAGGACTAAACTCTGAGCCACTGGGTTACCCTTGGTTGGAACCCACCAGCCTGCCAAGCCCATATGCCATCCTTTGTCTTCTCACAGCCTCAGCTACAGCCAAAGGCAACTCCTTAATTTCCATGCTCACTCCATCTTTTTTTTCTTTCTTCCCCTTTTGAGAATGGACCTACGGCCTGTATGAGTTCAGCAGGGACTCTACCCCTGAGCCACACCCCCAGCTCCTCCATAAGGGATTATGGGTAGACTCTCTACTGCCAAACCATTCCTTCAGATTCTCAATGGCAGATTCTAGGCAAGCATTCTACTGAGCCTTGCCCTGGTCCACACCCATCTTTCTCATCTCCTAGCTGTTGCACCTGTCTTTCCCTCCACTAGAAATGTCAACCCTTTGTGAGTATGTCCTTCCCCCCTGCAGCTGAAAGTAAACACTGGGGAATCTTGAGTTCCAGATGTTCCAGCTGTGACTTCTCCTTGGATTCTTGACGGGACCCTCTGAAAAGCCATCCACTGGCTGGACACACAAGGAAGCAGAGATGCAAATTGGTCCCCAGCCTGATGAGTGGAGCAGGGCATGGAAGCCTGGGGATGGGGGTGCTGCCCCGCTGGCCCTCTCCCCAGCACTGCCCTTCCTTCTTCTCCTCCCACTGGGTGAGTGCTCCCAGCCAGCTTCTTCTCCTCCCACTGGGTGAGTGCTCCCAGCCAGCTTCTTCTCTTCCCACTGGGTGAGTGCTCCCAGCCAGCTTCTTCTCTTCCCACTGGGTGAGTGCTCCCAGCCAGCTTCTTCTCTTCCCACTGGGTGAGTGTTCCCAGCCAGCTTCTGCTACCACTTTCTAGCTCTCAGTCCAGGCAGGGTGGTACATATTTACACAGTCTCAGTTATTGGAAAGGAAAGGCAGAAGAGCTAGCCTGAGCTACATGAGACCCTGTCTCAAAACAAAAACAAGCCAGGCAGTGGTGGGACATGCCTTTAAATCCCAGCACTTGGGAGGCAGAGGCAGGAAGATCTCTGAGTTTGAGGCTAGTTTGGTCTACATCCAGGGCTACATTGTCCGAAAAGCCAAGGAAACAAAACAAAAACTAGCCTTTAGTCCAGCATTCAGGAAGCAGAGGCAGGCAGGTCTCTGAGTTCCAACACAGCCAGGACTGCTACACAGAGAAACCCTGTCTTGAAAAACAAAGAAGCAAACAAACAAAAAGAATAAGATAGGCAAAGTGACTCAGTAGGTAAGGAAGCTTGTCATTAAGCCTAAGGACCTGAGTTAGATTCCTAGAACCTACATAGTGGAAAGAGGCCCAAGTTCCCAAAGTTGTTATCCTATGTTCATGACACACACGTGCACACACCCACACACCCACACTGTATATGTATACAAAGAGAAGAATCACAAGGAATGTTAGTCAAGGCCTGTAACCCAGCATCTAGGAGGTAGAATCAGGAGGCTAAAAAATTCAAAGCCATACTAGTTTTCATGGCAAATTCAAATTCTGGGTGAGCCTAGGTGATGTGACTCTACCTCAAGAAATCATTTAAAAAGGGACTGGCGAATATGGCTCACTGATTAAGAGCACTACCTGCCTTTCCAGAAGACCCAAATTCAATCCCCAGCAACCTCATAGTGGCTCCCAACCACCTGTAACTTCAGTTCCAGGGGGAATCTGATGCCCTCTTCTGGCCTCTAGTGGTACTGCATGTAGTGCACAGACAACATAAGGCAAAACACACACAATAAAATAAATTTTAAAACAATATTAAAATGGCTAGTGAGATGACTTGGCAGATACAGGCACTTGCTGAAACCACTGGAATTCAATTCCTGGGACCCATATGGTAGAGGGAGAGACCCAACTCCTACAACTTGTCCTTTGACCTCCACACACATACATACATTGAATGGTGGTACATGCATGATTTTAATCCCAGCAGAGGCAGGAAAATCTCTGTGAGTTGGAGGCCAGCCTGGTCTACAAAGTGAGTACCATGACAACCAGGACTATTACACACAGAAACACTGTCTCGAAAATAATAATAATAAAAACTAATTATTAGCCAGGTGATGGTGGCTCATGCTTTTAATCCCAGCACTCAGGAGGCAGAGTCAGAGGGATCTCAGTGAGTTGGAGGCCAGCTTGGTCTACAGAGAGTTCCAGGACAACCAGAACTATTACACAGAGAAATCCTGTCTGGAAAAACCAAACAAACAAAAAACCCTAATTCTTCAAAAGAGAAAAGAAGCCAAACGTTGTTGTAGAGAGAGAAGTCTCAGGAGCTAAGACTCCTACAGACAGCAGACAGTGCTCATGAGATTTTGCTGTGGAGTAGACAGATGGGTCCCAGGCAGATCTGTAATGGTCTATGGACCACTGGGATAGGGAGGTTGGTGTGGTGGTTCTAGACAGAGGAGAAGATGAGGACTTTGGAAAAGGAGGTCTCCAAGAGGAGAATGATGGTGAGACCCGTGGGCAAGTGGAAGCTGCGTGAAGGGACCAGTCCTTCAAAGCTGAGCAGAGACTCACATCCTTCCTCTGTCTGTTTCAGCCAGTGCCCTCCAGCCCACTCCACTGCCCTTTCCAGGTAGGTTCTGCCTCTTCCCCTTCATCTGTTTGCCGATACTCCCAAGCAGGCGTGGTCCAGCTCCCGTGTATCCTGCCGTTTGGGCTCCCAACCCGCTGTCCCAGTTTGTTCCCCTTTTTACAGAGCTGAGGCTGGTGGGGGGACCAAGCCGCTGCCGAGGACGCCTGGAGGTCATGCACAGCGGCTCCTGGGGCAGTGTTTGCGATGATGACTGGGACGTTGTAGATGCCAACGTGGTGTGTCGTCAGCTGGGCTGTGGCCTGGCGCTGCCAGTGCCGCGGCCGCTCGCCTTTGGCCAAGGCCGAGGCCCTATTTTCCTGGATAACGTGGAGTGTCGGGGGCAGGAAGCTTCTCTGAGCGAGTGTGGCAGCAGAGGCTGGGGTGTCCACAACTGCTTTCACTATGAAGATGTGGCGGTCCTGTGTGATGGTGAGTGAAGGAAGGGGAGGCTGCTGGGCCAAGCAAGCTCACTCTCTGATGCTATAGTACTTCTGCCTCATGGACCAAAGAAACTTGTAGGGTTTCAGGTGGGGCTTGATTGCCCACGGAGAGTTATCCTACTAGATTTCCTTGTTCCATGACTAGGGATTGAACCTGGGTACTAGTGCATTCTAGCCAATCACTTTACCACTGAGCCACATGCCCAGCCTGGGGCAAGATGTCTCTAGGCAAGTAAACTAACACTGACCTGTGCACTCCCCCATCCATCCATCCATCCATCCATCTTTCATTCATTCATTTGAGATGAAGTTTCACATAGGCCAAGCTGGCCTGGAACTCCTGGTTCCCCTCCCTCTACCTGCTAAATGCTGGAATGAAATGACAGGCATGTATCATCAAACCAGACTTACCCCTCCCATTTAGTAACCCAGACCACTGGGGTGGCCCTGGCCATCAGCTCTGCTGAACTTAGAGCACCGCAGAAACTCGGAGTCCTTGACCTGGAAAACTGATTTTTAGCTGGCAAGCCTAGACTTTCTGATTCTTCAGGTGTGGGGTAGGGCCTGAGAATTTAATTTTTCTAGTAAGTTCCCCAGGAATGTCAACTGCATTAAGAACTAGACTTAAGGGACTGGGAGATGGCTCAGCAGTTAAGAGCATTTGCTACTTTTCCAGAGGACTCCGGTTTGATTACCAGCACCCTGGCCCCTAACCTGCCCCAATTCTAGCTCCAGGGGATCCAATGCCCTCTTCTGGATCATGCATGTGGGGTATAGACATACATACAGTCAAAAGTTACATACATACAATAAAAATAAATAAAGGAGCTGGCAACATCTCGCCACTGGTTTAGAGTACTGGCAGGCCTTGCAGAGGACCTGGGGTCGATTCCTAGCACCTATTTGGTAGCTCACAGATATCCACAACTTTTGTGGTCTCTGCAGACACTATGTACATACATGGTGCACAAACATAAGACACATGAAATGAGTAAATCTAAAAAACATTTATAATAGCCAATCAATAAATATAATGGAGATCAATAGAAGGCACCCAGCACAAACCTCTGGTCTCCACAAGCACATGTATAGGTGCATGCACCACACATACACATGCACACGTGTATGCCACATATACACACACACCAAAAAAAATAGTAAGAACTAGACTGGCCTGGTGATATAATATAGCATTTGGGAGGCAAGAGGATCAGAAATTCAAGTTTATTCTTTTTGTTTGGTTGGTTTGGTTTTTCAAGACAGGGTTTCTCTGTCCTGGAACTGGCTCTGTAGACCAGGCTGGCCTCAAACTCTCAGAGATCTGCCTGCCTCTGCCTCCCGAGTAGAGTGCTGGGATTTAATATGTGTACCACCACCACCCCAGCATCTCAGGTCACTCTTACCTACATAGCAAGTTTGGAAGCAGACAGTGGCTGTTCATATCCAGGATTTGGGGCTTTGGTCTTGAAAGCAAGCATCTTAAGGCACTAGACACCTGATGCTCACGTGCTGTGTAAGGATGGAGAACAGAACGAACCCTGTGTCTCTGCTTCCTCCCACCTTCCTTTGCAGAGTTCTTGCACACACAGCCCCCGACAAAGAAGGTGTTGACCAGTGCAGCACCCCCCACAGCCCTCCAAAATGGAAAAGGTAAGGGGTAGCATGTGTGGGGAGACTGTTGGTAAGCTAGAGGACATGATAGAAAGGGTCCTGAGGGCTTCAAGGGCATGCCTGCAATGTAGAACAAGGACCCTCTTGAGGGACAAGCAGAGGGAAGAAGCCCAGAAGAGGGGCCCATCTACCAGGGAGGGCTTCATGGAAGAGGAAGTGTGCCAGCCACATCTTGCAAAGTAAGGTTTCCTTTGGGCAGCTGTACATGACAAACAGGCATGTTCGAGAAGGCCAGTAGAGCAGGGATAGGAAAGAAAAGGCTGGTTTTAGGTCAGGATGACACAAACTCTCTGGGTTGTCAGAAGGCTTGGGGATGGGTGTGGGGTCTAGTTTATCCCTGCTGGGGTTTTGGTCCTGCCTTTCAGGGTTCTGCCCCTGACCAGGGAGGCCTGGTGCATTGATGAAGTGGATGAAAATGCCTCCTTGTGGTTCTATAAGATGTTGTTTGCCCCACCCTCTCCATCCATATTCACAAGGTGAGGGTAGCGTGCGCCTGGTGGGCGGCGCTGGCCCATGTCAAGGCCGAGTGGAGATCCTGCATGGCGGCCTGTGGGGCACTGTATGCGACGATGACTGGGGGCTGCCGGATGCTGCTGTAGTGTGCCGCCAACTGGGCTGTGGGGCCGCCTTGGCCGCCACCACAAATGCCTTTTTCGGCTATGGCACCGGGCACATCTTGCTGGACAACGTGCACTGCGAAGGTGGAGAGCCCCACCTGGCAGCCTGCCAGAGCCTGGGCTGGGGCGTGCATAACTGTGGGCACCACGAAGATGCTGGGGCCCTGTGTGCAGGTACCGGGAGCAGGCAGAGGTGGGACCAGGACCGAGGGGCGGGGCTTTTTCAAAGGAGTTTGTGTGGGGAGAGCTGGAAGAAGCTGAGGACTGAGATGGCAGAGGGGTTTGGCTAACTGTACTTTCCAACAGGGCATTGGTAGCGCACGCCTTTAATCCCAGCACACTCGGGAGGCAGAGGCAGGCGAATCTCTATGAGTTCGAGGCATTGGGGCGGAGATATAACTTGGTTGCCAAAGTGCTTATCTGGGTTTAATCTCCAGCCCATATAAACCAGGCTTCAGCACTCAGGACATAATGGTCATAGTCATCCGCTACTACATAAGGAATTTTTAGCCAGCCTGGGCTACATAAAACCTTGTCTAAAAGTACAATAAGAAAAAGCTGGGTCTGGTTGTGTGTACCTTTAATCTCAGCTCTTAGTAGGCAATGACAGACTGATCCCTTTGAGTCCAAGGCCAGACAGGGCTACTGAGTGAGACCCTGTAAAACAAAATAGATACGTTTTTTGTTTTGTTGAGGCTGGGTCTTATTTTAGCCCAGGTTGGCTTCCTCTTATATTAGCTTCCCAAGTACAGGTATTACAAACAGACACTAGCCCTCACATCCTGCTTAACAGATGGGTTATTACTGTTGCATGCTGGAGAATCAAATCCACAACCTTGGACACATAAACCAGGTATTCTACAACTGTGCTAAATACACCCTGAGCCCAGCAAATAAGACTTGTGGAGCTAGAGCACCATTTCACAAATGGACTCTGTTCTGTTAGATGGAAAGTGTTTGCAGCAAACCAGAGGTCATCATTCCCGTTTTACAGATAGAGCCTTAGCCAGAGTCACCCAGAGCCCTACAGAACCACCCCTGACATTGCTCAATGTTCATGCTCCCTGCTCTTCCTAGTCTCATTTTACCTAGAGACTAAGGTAAAGATTCTTCGGTCTTTTATTTTGGCCTGGCTTTGAACTCAGTACTTAAAGAGTGAACCTACACACTTCTGATCCTTCTGCCACCACCTCCCCAGTGCTGAGATTACAGACATATACAACCATTTTACGTACTGTTAGGATGAACCTAGGGCCTCATGAATGCTAAGCAAGCACTCTACCAGCTGAGCTTTAAATGGGCCTAGTCTTATTCTCTGAGCTCCTCAGAAATAAGCAGAGTTCCTTAGTAGGTAAAACTCTGCATCTCTGTATTTTGCATACATTGGGCTTCTTGAGAACATTGAAAACATGCACCGGGCTTGCATTCATCTGTGTACGACACATAAGCTACTAAGGTCAAGGTTGGGCTTGGGCTCCCAACCCTGCAAGTCAAATTGGTTTTCTTTTGGAAGACAACCTTAATCCTGTGACTAACCCTGTCTTTTCTCCTGCTCTAGTGCCAGGCCCTCCAACTTTCACAGCACTGCCTCCCTCTGCCACGAAAGAAGACTGGGCGTGGCACACTGAGCCAGCAGGTGCAGAGCCCACCCTGCTAGCTGGAAGGGTTGGGGACTGGGCGGGCAGGGGTGGGAACTGAGGAAGACATCCTAGAAGACCCAGGAAAGTGACTTCAGCTAAGGCTTTGGTGCAGATGGTAGAGATGGGTGAGAACAAGTGAACAGATGGAAGCATGAATGACTCTCTGAGAAACGAAGAAATTTCTTTAAAATGCTTCAGTCAAATTAAGGATTGCTGCTGACGCAGGGAACAGAGACCATGTGAAGGGACTCAGACTGAAAACCAAGGTTAGGAGTAAGTTTTGCATTAGAGCGACAGCTATGACTGTGAGTAAAATTAGTATAATTAAGATTTGGGGCTTGAGGGTTGTAACTCAGGCTGATTGAGTTACATCCCTCCACACAAGCACCACGTGAACAAGGCATGGTGGTTCACACCAAGTTGAGGGCGGAGAGCTTGGAGTTCAGAGCCAACCTAAGCAACACAGCAAGACCTTGTCTTCAAAACCCCAAAGATTTTAATACTAGAACATGGGAGGCAGATCTCTGTGAATCTGAGCCCTGTCTATATAGTGAGCCCAGGCCAGTGAAGGCTATGTATTGAGAGCCTGTGTCAAAAAAAAAAGGGGGGGAGTGGAAAAACCCAAAAGATGTTTATTCCTAACAAACTTTCTGGCAACTTCTCCAGAGACAGCACTGTGGCTCTGGGACTGAGGCAGAGATTTGGGTGTGGTGCATGGCCTTCTTGCCCCCTTCAAAGGATCCCTTGTCTTCTCAGCTACAGGAGTTGCTGCCCTGCCTTCCAGGGATACCGTGCGGTCGACCACGGCAGCCTGGGGCTCGGGGAGGAAAAGTAAGTGGCCTCCCAGATCCCGCAGGGGGTGGAAGCGGGTGGGCTGGGGATGCGGGATAGGGAACCTGCCGCCCCCAGCCAGGCCACTTTGGCCCCGGCCTGTGCGCCCTGCAGGCGGTAAGTTGCGGCTGGTAGGCGGCCCGAGCCCATGCCGCGGCCGCGTGGAGGTGCTGTACGCCGGGGGTTGGGGCACCGTGTGCGACGATGACTGGGACTTCGCGGACGCGCGTGTGGCCTGTCGCGAGGCCGGGTGCGGGCCCGCGCTAGGAGCCACGGGCCTTGGTCATTTCGGCTACGGCCGAGGCCCTGTGCTGCTGGACAACGTGGGCTGCACCGGTACCGAGGCCCGCCTCAGCGACTGCTTCCACCTGGGCTGGGGCCAGCACAATTGCGGCCATCACGAAGACGCCGGAGCCTTGTGCGCAGGTGAAGCTGTGGCGCGGGAGGGGTGGGGTCCGAGGGGGAAGGGGGCGGGGTCGCCTGCAGGCGCTTTTTGGGATATGGGCGGGGCGGACCATGAAGAAAGAGCGGAGTAGCGCGTAAAACACGCTCGGCCAGGCGAGCGGGGCGAGGCCTTAGGCACGGGCTGGGCTGCGCGCATGCCCTCACTGAGACACTAGGCGGGGCTGACTCAGAGGGGGCGGGGTGTCATGGGGGCGGGGCATGAAGCGGATGAGCAGGGCTGTGCGTGGGCCCTCTTGAAACACTCTCAGCAGGGTAGGGCCAATCTGAAAGGCATGGGTGGGGTCGTGCGCAGACGCTTACTGCCCTGTAGGCAGAACCTGTGTGGCATTCAGGGCCCGCCCAAGATCAGAAGACGAGCATGAAGCTGTACGCAGGCGCCCTCTGTTTTGTGGGCGGGGTAGACAGGAATAGGCAGGGGCTCACATCAGACTCAAGCAGGGTTTGATGGGGGAATAGGCGTGGCAGTCTCTGCTGCATTGCAGCGGAAGTATTACGCGTAGGGGTGCAGCGGGCCCTCAAGCACTCTGCGACTGCGCAGTAGGGGCGTGACCGGAAGGGCGAGTCCCCTGCAGAGAAAGAATAAGGCGTGACGTGGGGAAGGTTCCTGCTGTGTAGTCTCCAACTTGCAGAGGGTTGGATGTTTTATTCCCTCCCTGCTGAGTCAAGGTTCCTACTGAGTACTAGTGATGGATAGGAAGCAGGTGGAGTGGACTACTTTTCCCAGAGCTAGCCTTTGCCTTTTCAGAGAAACCGATGAAAAAAGGGTGCTTACAAAGTCTGACTGGTCATTGCTCATTGCCAATTCCTTTTGTTCGTAGTGGCCTCCATCTTTATTGAATGCCCAGGCCTAGGGCCCCCTCTTGTGTCTCCTACCTTAGTGTGGTAGTTCTTCACGGCCCTTTCTTATCTCTGCAACCTGGGACGGTTAGGAGAGATGACCTACCTCTCTAGGGAGCGTGTTCCCCTGTATGACAGCCCCGCCTCTCTTTTCCTTTTTTCTTTTTTCCCCCTTACGGAGTCAGGCCCGGAGGAGCTGGGACTCCAAGTTCAGCAGGATGGTTCTGAGACCACCCGAATGCCCAGTCCTCGGCCCAGAGATGGTAGGTGTCTACTGCCACTGAAAATGAGGTTGGAACCTTAGGGGTAAGATGGACCTGGACTGAGGAAGGGCAAAGCTTGGGTTACCGCAGGTCAATAGAACTGACCAGGTCCTAGAACACTTGTCCTTTTGGGTTGTTCAAAGGCCTCATTAATGGGAGTCTAATACCCCGGGGTGGGGGGGGAGGAGGTAGATTTTAAACTAGAGCAGTTTGGAACTGGGGGTGGAGGCAGGGGATATAGTTCAAGGAGTAGAATGCTTGCCTAGCATGCAGAAACTTCAGGCTGAATCTCTAGCCATGTCTTCCGTGGGCCAGCCCTTTCTGACCCCTGGCTTTCTCTGTGACTCGAGCACCTCATAAATTGGATATCTTGGAGCACCCCTGTAATTGCAACACTTGGGAGAAGTGAGGCAGGCAAATCAGTTCAAGGCCAGCTTTGTGTATTTTGAAGCCCACCTGGGTCTTACAACTCTAAATAACATACTAGGGCAACCTAGAGACTTCTAGTGTCGGGAACAAATGGAAGGGATGGGGACCCTCTCTTGGAGCAAACAGAGAGAGGGAGTACAGAATTAGGCTTGATGGCCCTTGGCTTTTCATCCCAACATTATAGAAACTTAGGTTGAAAGGATAGTCAACTCAGGGCCAGCCTGGGCCACATTACAAAGGCTCTACCTCAGAAAAACAATAAATTAGCCCAGGGAATCCAATATGGAAGAGGAGACAGGAAACTTTGGGGGACAAGAGAAGACATGGTCACAGTCTCCAAACAGCTAACCTGTGATCCAAGTGCTGAGAACATGTTTGCATATTCCCTTCAGTCTTGAGTCCTGCTGCCCAGCTTTTTTTAATGTCACTATCCTGAGGGCTTCCAGGCCGCTGCTGTGTTGTATGTCAGCATCTTTTGTCTCCTCCTTTCATCCCATACCTAGTCTAGCAAGTTTCCATCATGGGTCAGCTCCTTCTTTTAAACAGTTTTGTTTTTTGTTTGTTGTCTGAGGATCTTATTACATAGCTCTGACTGACCTGTTATTTTCTCTGTAGACCAGGCTGGCCTCAAACTCACAGAGATCTGCCTGTCTCTGCCTCCCCAGCACTGGGATTAAAGGTGTGTGCCACCTTGTCCAGCATTATTTATCTGTGTCTGTGGATATGTCTCTGTGTGCATACGTGTGCTCACACGTGAACACACAACAGTGAAGGGTAGAGGACAACCTGTGAGAGTTTGTCTTCTCCCTCCACCAAATGGATCTTGAGGATAGAACTCAAGTCATCTGGCTTGGTGGCAAATGCCCCCAACCATGGAGCCATCTCTTGAGCCTATGGACTCTGCTGACCCCAGGCCTTGTCTCTAATACAGGGCACCTCCGCCTGGCTAGTGGAACCCACCGATGTGAGGGGCGTGTAGAGCTCTTCCTGGGACAAAGGTGGGGTACTGTTTGTGATGATGCCTGGGACCTACGGGCAGCCATTGTCCTGTGCCGTCAGCTGGGATGTGGCCAGGCTCTGGCAGCCCCTGGCGAGGCCCACTTTGGCCCAGGCAGAGGCCCCATCCTCTTGGACAATGTCAAATGCCGAGGAGATGAGAGTACCTTGCTCCTCTGCTCTTATATCCGCTGGGATGTCCACAACTGTGACCACAGCGAGGATGCCAGTGTCCTGTGCCAGCCATTGTGACACAGCTAACTCTGCACTTCATATCATGTCAAAGGAGCCTGTGGGGAACTGCCCGTCATTTTCCAGGATACCCTCCTACGATTTCTGCAGTTCCTGGTGCCCCTTTCTCCCCTTGCATGGGGGATCTGCACTGTAATACCCTGCCTCCATCTTCTTACTGTACGGTTGTTACCTGCTGGAGGCCCAGTACCGTGAACATGGCAATGTTCACGGTAGAAGATGTGGGAGAATGACTCATCTCTTTGCTTTGGGGGCCTCTTATATAGTACCCCAACAGTTTTCTCCACTCATATCCATGAGGCTTGGGCTTTCTGTAAATGCCCTCAAACCCTTCTAATGACCTATCTTGGTCCCCCACAAAAAGAGGGGTAGCAGAAGGGATTGGGCTGCTCTTTTCTATAGACTGACAGGGGACTGCAGAAGGTCCTAGGTCATCGCCTTCCCTGCTGGGTGAGGACCTGAACTCAGATGGTGCTCGGCTGAACAAGGGGGCTGCAGGGGCCAAAGCAGGGACTGGAGGAGCCCTTCCTACAGCATCTCGGGTTTCCACTGCCCCCAGCACAGAGCCTCCACTTTGCAGTAGCAAAGAAGCCTGGAGGCCTGTAGCCACTGTTCATAGGTGCCAAGTCAATAAAGCATTATCCCCCAGTCTTTTAACTGAGGTCATTGTTTGAGAACCTGTATTGTGGGATCTGGAAAGACTCCAGATAGGACTTTCTGGAGAAAACCTGACAAAAAGTTGAAAGACTGTTCCAAGAGCATCATCTAGGAGTTCTCCACAGGCCCATCGAAGCCTGGAAATGCTGAATCACCATGGCAAGCCTCAGGCCCCTGAGGAGCTTCTGGTCATCCTCTCCAGCCTATTACACATGCACGAATCTAGATCCCGGAAAAGAAAGGAAGTACAGCATGCTCATGCATGCCTGTAATCCCTGTACTGGGGTGCTGAGGAAGGAAGAATGGTGGGAGTTCCAGGCCAGCCAGAGCTACAGACAGGGTAAGAGACCCTGATTGAACAAGCTGGGAAAATAAAATGACCAAAACACAGTACTCTGACAGTATACAGCTCTTATGTTATCTCTTTGAAGGAGTCACAAGCAGGATGATGAGGAGCTCAAGGTCAGCTTGGGCAACAAGAGACCTTGTCTAGAGAGAAAAAGAGCCCCTGCCTGACTAGAAATCTGTAATCCTAGCATTTACATGCTGAAGCAGGTGGATTAGGAGTTTAAGGCAGCCAGGGCTTCTAGAGAACTCCATCACCTTTCCTCCTCTCCCCACCTATGTCTAGATTGGGTTTTTTGTTTGTTTTGTTTTGCAAGACACAGTTGTTTCCCTGTGTATCCCTGGCTATTCTGGAACTCACTCTGTAGACCAGGCTAACCTCAAACTCAGAGATCTGCCTGCCTCTGTCTCCTGAGGACTGGAGTTAAAGGAGTGGGCTACAATGCCTGGCATAAATTGTGTGTCTCTCTCTGTATATTTATACTTTGTTTTCAGTCATTCCTGCCCTCTTATGCCTTTGCTATTCCGGTCATTTTTTAAAAATAATTTATTTGTATTTTATGTGCATTGTTATTTTGCCTACATGTATATCTGTGTGAGTGTATCAGATCACCTGAAACAGGAGTTGGAAACAGTTGTGAGCTACCATGAGGGTGCTGAGACTTGAACCCAGGTCCTCTGGAAGAGCAGCCAGTGCTCTTAACTGCTGAGCCATCTCTTCAGCCCCCATTCTGGAAATTATTTAATGCTTCCTTTAGATTCCACTTCTGCTTGCTTGTTTGTTTGTTTGTTTGTTTGTTTTGTTTGTTTTATTTTTTACAGGACTAGGGATGGAACCTAGGACCTAATTCATGGAAAGCAAGTATTCACTGAGCCACAATTCCTCTTTCAATTCTGCTCCCCCCACCCACAGAGATTTTGTGTGTGTGTGTGTGTGTGTGTGTGTGTGTGTGTGTGTGTGTAACATGCTTGCACATTCCCTTGGAGATCAGAAGAGGATGTCTAATCTTCTGGAACTGGAGTCACAAGCAACTTTTGAGCTGCCTGGTGTGGGCGCTGGGAAATGAACCAGAGGTCTCTGGAAAGAGCAGCCAGTTCTCTATACTCATTATCCATTTCTCTAGCCCTTCCCCATTCTGTTTTTTTAGGCTAGCATGCAAGGTATTCGATCTCTCATATTTTTAAACAAGGTCTTATTCTGTAGCCCTAGCTGGCCTGGAACTCATTATATAGACCAGGCTATCCTTGAAACTTACCTCTTAAGTACTGGGATGAAAGGTGTGTGTCACCATGCCTGGCTAATTAAGACATTTTCAAACAAAGTGTGATTTAGTCGAAGAATCCTTTGTCTCCTCAATCCCCTAATCCCCATCTCTCATATATCTATCTGCCCAGTCTCTTTTCCTCCCATGTGTCATGTGATGTTCCTTACTCTTACCCCTCTTGGTCCCTTTTCTAGAGGGTTTTATCCACAGTTGCATCTTGGAGGAGCAGTAAGAGCGCTCTTGACCACTGAGTCATCTCTCCATCTCTCAATTGGCCTTTTGCTCATTAAAAAAAAAAAAAAGTGCATGTGCATCTTGCCTACATGTATGTCTGTACACTACATGCATACCTGGAGCTTAAGAAGGCCAGAAGAAAGCACTGGGTCCTTTAAGATTAGAGTTATGAGCTTCTGTGTGAGTGGTTTGACTCAAACCTGGGTTCTCTGGAAGAGCAGCCAGTGCCCTTAACTGATGAGCCATCTCTCTGACACCCCTTTCCCACTTTGCTAAACAAAAGCTGGGTGTGGTGGCCCATGCCTTTAATCCAAGCATTGAGGAGGCAGAGATAGGTGGATCTCTGTGAGCTCAAGGCTAGCCTGGACTACAGATTGAGTTCAAAAACAGCCAAGAGTACATAGAGAGAGAAACTGTGTCAAAAAACAACAAAAACAGTTGTACTCTGACCACTACATGTAGAGTATGGTACACATTTGTGTTTCCACACACAAAATAAATACATAAAAATGAACAAAATATACCAAACCCCCCCCCCCATTGCAATTCTGCAAACAACTAGAAAACTGAGTCCTTTGGGTTTTTTTTTTTTTTTCATTTGCTTGTTTTATCATGGTGTAGGGGAAGGCACACAAAACAGTAGGGAATCTGGAGGTCTCCTTCTGTCATGTGGGCCACGGTGATCTAACCTGGGTCGTCTGGCTTCATGACAGGTGTGTTTTACCTGCTAAACCAGCTCCCTGGCCCATTATTATTGTTGTTATTGGCATTATGGTGTATGTGTCTGTGTATTATATATATGCTTGCGTGTGAGTACACAGTGGTCAGAAGAGGATATTGGATCTCTGTAAATTAGAGGCCAGCCTGAGTTTCAGGACAGCCAGGGCTAGGAAGAGAAACCATGTCTTCAAAAACAAAAGCAAAACAGAAGATATTGAGTATCGTGTTCTATCACTCTGATTCCGTTGCAACAGAAACTCTCACTGAGCCTAGAGACACGCTGAAGGCCAGCAAGCCGCAGTAGCCCTCCTGTCTCTGCCCTCTGCTACCGGAACTACAGCATTCTTGTCACTTTGGTTTTACATGCCAGGTGCTGGAATCCAAGCCCAGGTCCTCAAGTTTGCAGGACCATCTTACCCACTAAGCCATCCCTCTAAACTCTTCTTTTATTATTAGATTTTAAATTTGTCTTGTGCATAAGTGTTTCCATATATGGATTATTTTGTCAGAAAGTGTTGGATCTCCTGGTACCAGAGTTGTGATGGTTCTGAACCACCATGTGGGTGCTTGGAACTCAAGTACTATGCAAGAGCAAGTGTTCTTAATTGCTGAGTCATCTCTCCGGCCCATCTTTGTTCCTTTTGTTGTTGTTTTTGTTCTTTGGTTTATTTGTTTTGTTTTGTTTTTCAAGACAGGGTTTCTCTCTGGAACTCGCTATATAGACCAGGCTGTCCCCAAACTTAAGAGATCCACCTGCCTTTGCTACTTTGCTGGGATTAAAGGCGCGTGCCACCACCACCCAGCTCTCCAGCCCCTCTGATCTTAAAATTATTTCCTGCCTGTGTGTAATAGAGGTCACAGGAGTTCTCTCCTTCCACCACGTGGGACCCAGGGATTCTTATAGAAAGTGCCTTTTCCCTCTGAGCCATCACACCAGCCCTGGCCCCTCATCACTGAGACAAGATGTACTTCCCTATTTGTTGTTACACCTGCCTGACAACCTGGATTGGAGCCAAACATTGAGGAGTGACGGATTAGCAAAAAATGGGGCATCTGGGTTTTCTTCCTGTAAGGTCAAACTCCACACTTCCAGGGCTTCCCACTCACAGGCACTGCCCTGGGAAGTGTTCCTATCAGCTGTGCAAACAAGGCAAACAAAAGCCCAAAGAAAGTCCCATTGCTAGGTCACCAAAAGACATCAGGGACCAGGTGTTGGGATTCCCACTGAACCCCACAAGCCACGACGACCTGAACAAGGATAAGATAGGACGTGACGTGGCTCTGCCCTACCGTCAAACTCAAGTCGCGCCTTCCTGCTGAGTCACCGCGGGAGCTCAAGAAAGGGCCCGCCCTGGGTGGGATCCTAAGCCTCGCCTCCATTTCCTAGAAGGGTCCTGATTGGATCGGCCAGGAACCGATTCAGCCAGTCACTGCAAACTGCAGATTTACTGGGAGAGGGTGGGGAGGGGTGATGGAGTCGCCCTTTGAGGGGACCCTCCCATTCCTCGGGGATAGAGTTCTAGGTCTGGTATGACAATGGACTCTGGTCCCTAGGTGCAGCACTTACAACGGAAGGAAAATCAAGCGTTCCCAGAAGACGAGTTTATGTGACATTTTCAGTTCCAGAAGATATTTGTCGCTTACCACCACCAATCTCTGGGCCACAAGGCAGCTTTCCTCCCCTCTCCTCCTTTTCCTTTTCTTTTTCCTTTTCCTTCCCTTTCCTCCTCTTTTTTACCTTCCTCCCTTCCTCCCTCCCTCCCTCCCTCCTTCCTTGCTTTCTTTCTCTTTCTTTTTCTTTCTTGTTAAAAATGTATGTGGTGGCTCCCACCTTTAATCTCGGTGCCCAGGTGATAGAAGCAGAGGATCTCTGTGAGTTCGAGGCCAGCCTGGACTACATAGTGAGTTCCAGGAAAGCCAGAGAAACCCTGTCTGGAAATATAAAAACAAACAA